ACGGTCCTCAACTCCCGTGTCTTCTGCCGTCAGCGCCACCCGTGGCCTTTCCATGACCTCCAAATAAACGATGACATGACCCGCCCTTCCTGGCCCGCAGCTGTGGGCCTATGTAAATGTGTGACAGCAACGAATATCCCGATACCATTCAATTTCAATGCAAACCCCACGGCGTGCCCATTCACACGCCTGGTCTTTGCCTCAGCATCATAATGGGGGACCCTCTCAATTGACTGGGGAAAAATGTCGATTACCGATGCTATCAGATCTCTGAACAGGCCGGCATTGAAGAAATGTTCCATATCAGTGGATCGGCAAGATCTTAATGAGGATTATTGAAGGCATCCCCCCTGGGAGCCCTAGAACCAACGCTTCAAAGCACTCATGCGGGGATTGAAGTCGATGTTCTACATGTACTTATTTTCGGGTTCTTTTTTTTTTACAGTTCCTATAGATGTGACCGAAAGAATCTGTTTGTGTTCAAGCCTTTTTAAATAATACAAGGCTGCCAGGTACATAATAAGTATACAGTGTACAAAATTATGGGGCAGGCAAGGGTCTAGAATTGCCTGCTCCTTAGTACTCTTGATTTGGATGCTTCTGTTGATTGTTATCGACAAAGCAGATATTTGAAGTTACCAACCAAATATCTGGATACTATTCCATTCAAGGCGTCTACCTATAGGTAATTGTACAAGCTACTATAAATATCCATCCATCGGGCCATGTAGTACCCCTTAGACCCTGGCCGGTGTCCTTGGCAGGAGAGGTATCCAATACGAGTATCGTACAACCAATTTCCTGCTTAACTATTGATCTTGTTATTGATCTAGCTTTAGGAGACCATTCTAGTGTTATAGAGAGAGCCAAGTTAATAAAAAGAAAAAGAAGACCTGAAAGGGAGTCCCATCAGATCTGCAATCAGATGTTCATCGCCTAAACCCCCTATAGATACATGTACAATGCTGAACAAAGTAAGGAACCTGAAGTAACTGACGGGTATTACCGTAAGGGAACTCCAACTACACTGAAGTCACTCTCACACTTTAGATCTGTCCCTTTCCCCAGTATCAGTTCAGTCCTTCACTCCTTTGGATCTGGTGATTTGCTCTAGTGGTTCATTTTACGCCCTCGTGACGAATCACGACTCATCACCTCTAGCTCCGTTGACTTAGATTGGAATCCTAGTGGAGAAATACGGGGGGTTCTATTTTTCGCCCGTAACGAAGTGAATGCCTTTGCGAATTAATCGAATCTGTGCTAGCTGGCCCTTCGGAAAGCGTTGAATTTTCATTGAATAAGTTGGAACACCCCAAGCTTGACACTGAGATGATTGGAGGTTCGGGAGCCATGTCGCCTGTCTCTGTTGATGGTAGCGAATGGTCGGGACTAAATCAGTATGGAAAGTCCGACTCACCATTCTCACCAACATTCCCGCCATCACGACCCAACCTAGCCACACCTCCGACCTCTGGCACCCCGAGCGTGCCCTTAAGTCCCAGTGGGCCACCTCCTTCGCAGTCACCCTCCACCCGCAGCGGCAACACATCCCCACCCAGCTCGGTCGCCGCAAGATCCAGTACTGGAACACTAGCAGAAGGCCCGCGCGATGGAAGGCGGTATCGTCAGATGGAAGAGATCCTCAGCCAGCACTATGCAATCTTGAGAAGATTCCTGAATGGCCCAGCCCGCGACGAACGTGGCAAGTCGAATAAAGCCCGGGACAAACTGCTACGGCTATCTCCAACCCAGTTCCATGAACTTTCCACCGATGTTTATGATGAATTGATCCGGCGGCAGCAGGCTTCGCCGCCTCCCGGACGACCGCCTCGTCCAGACGTGCCTCCCTACCTCCCCGCCCGCAGCGACTTCCACGAAAAGCGTAACCATGCCCGCAAAAAGCTTGCTGCGCTCCACCATGTGCGTTTCCGAGATCTGGCGACCGATGTATTCTGTGAGCTGGAGCGCCGCTTCCCCCAATTTACCAGCCGAGAATATCGCGCCCGTCCGCCTCCTAGTATGGGCCCATCCAGTGGTCGTACCTCGCAGCAGTCTTCTCGGGGACCTCCTTCGCGTATGGGACGAGGATATCCGTCTGACGGCACCCCGGGCAGTCCGTTTCCTCCACGCGCTGGTTCTCTTGGAGGCCCACCGAGTATTAATGGCGATGGACCGTTTCCTCGGTCTTTCCAGAGCAATACCATGGTTCCGAATAAAAGCACGATGGTTGAGGATAGCGATGATATGGGACCAGAGGACGAGGATGATGCTCGGAGTGATGCGTTCGGTTTAGATGGTGTTTTGAGCCGACGGGGTACTGCAACGACCCTGGGTGACAGTGAACGGAGACTGTTACTGGAGAGCCAGACACAAGTTTCGATCCTCCAAGATAAGATTGAAAAACTGGAAGAACTGGTCCGCTCCAAGGATGAGGAGTTGGCCCAGTCATCGCAAGAGGCAGATTCCTCCGGGATCAGTCACAATGAGCGTCAGGAGTGGGACGATTTAAGACACGAGCTTGAGAGCAAGGTCTCAAAAGCCGAGGATCTCAACAGCTCACTTCAGCTAGAGCTTGAGCGTGTTAGAACCGAGCACGAGACCATGGAACGGGATCTTCGCAGCCAGCTCAATGGCTCTTCCCAGGGTACCGATGATGCGGGTCTACAAGCGCGCTATGTTGACCTAGAGACCCAGCACCGTAATTTACAAGCAGAGTTGCAGCAGCAGCAGCAAGTGACTGACGAGGTCCGCCGCGAGGCATCGGCTTTCCTCATGGAAATGAAGACCCTTTCAGCCGATAGTCACTCCAATTGGGAGCGTGAAGAACAGCTCTCGAAGGAGGTCCACAGACTCGAGGCAGATGCCAACGAATGGAAGGACCGCTACGCCAAGCTCAAGGCGCAGCTGCGGCATCTTCGCACATCGTCCGGTGGTTTCGCCGACTCGCGGCCCGATGCAAGTCTTGTCGCCAAAGAGCATGAGTTGGTGCAACCCGACGGGCTGGTCAAGGATATCCACGTTACTAAGTTTCAGGTGTCTGTGGACGAGCTCCTGCGAGCTGCGCGTTTCGAGGAATCACATGTGGTGCTTCACCAGATCAAGATGGTCATTGAAACAGTCCGCTATATTCTCCAGGATGTGGAATATTCCCCGATCCCAGTGGATGGGTCGTCTGCTTTGCATGCAAAGGTCAAGGGCCAGGTGTCTACGACAGCGAACAACATGATCACCGCCACTCGCAATTTTGCCAGCTCTAGTGGTTTGTCCCCGGTGTCGCTCCTTGATGCAGCAGCCTCCCATCTTTGCACTGCTATTGTTGACCTGATACGGGTGGTGAAGATCCAGGCGTCACCTGTGGATGAGCTGGAGGACGAAGATGAAGATGATGAAGCGGATGTATCCCAGGAGCAATTTCCTCATTATTTTGATACGTCTGCCAACCAGAAGCGGCTGAGCAACCACTCTGTCTACAGTGCTATAAGCCGTCCGGATGATTCTCAGTACCCTGTGCAGAATGGTGTTGCTAATGACCTCAATCATGGATGGGGGCATGTGCAAGAAGACCATGAGGTGTTGGAGCTTAAGGTGAGTCGACTTGAGGAGGAGGAGAATATCCCACTGTGTGATTTGCTGACAAATAATCCTAGCTCTATGTCGAGGACCAAACAGATGGCATGGTCCAACAAATTCAGGCTTTGGTGGCCAGTATTCGAGCCGAGGACAATCTGCAAACTGTCCAGATGCACGTCTCCGCAATTTCGAACGTTGTTGCGAATGTGATCTCCGCTACAGAGCACCTGATGCACGAACGCAGCGAAGACAATGCATTGCGGGAGACGTCTGAACCGGTCCTCGCGGCATTGAACCAGTGCCGCGGCCGGTTGACGGCCACTGCTGGTGAGGGCAAAGACGCCGCCACCCCTGAACAATTGCGTGAGCTCACGAATAAGCTGCCACCCATTGCATTTGATATCGCTCGGCAGATCAAAGACCTTGTTCAGCGCCTCGAGGCTATGTCAGTGGCCGCTGACGAGGAAGATGACTTCCGGTGATGAGCTAGAACCCAGGCTTTGTTCTTCATGACATAAACTTAGAGTTCCTCAATTTTTTTTTTCTTTCTCCTAGAATTTTTCTTTCCTGCGTCTTTGCCCCTTGCTTTTCAGCGACTATTCATTCATGGCAACGAGTGGACACTGTCGAAATGATGTCCATATGTGGTATCCGCAGGTTTCCTTTCCCTCTGTCGTTCATCCTTTTTCCACATTCTCACACCATTACACTCTATTTTAGCCGTTTCCATTGTTCAATCAGGTTGTTTAGGCCTCATTTTTGTGTCGATTTGTTCCTTTACTCATCTCACGACCGCTTGTTGGTGTCGTGCTGTTATTTTCTCACATTTTGGATGAATTCAAGTGAAATGAAAGCCCTATGTGTATCTCTTCAGCCCAATGGCTATACTAAAAATCAACGCAAACTTACCCCTCCAAAGATGCACATCTTCTCGTAGCCAGTACTGCTAGTTCGGAAGGGATATCCCGGAAGTCATTACATAATCACGGAGCTCTAGACGCTTTTTGACATTGAGCTTCGTTTTTTTCCCTCTTTTCTACTTCTTTAATTCGCTTTCCTCCTCAATCTATACCCTTTGTAAGTGAGCTTGGTTCCTTGTCATATTAATGTCGGAGTGCATTTCCATTTTCTTCAGACTCTTTCAGAAACAACATTAGGCGACAGAAGCCGTCATGTTTTCCCCCCTTGAGAGTCTGGAGAAGCTACAAGTGGAGCCTCAGGCAGAAAATACACAACTGGTCTTTAAGTGAACCTCAACAAGCTAACCCCAAAGTAGCCCGGCACCCAAGTTTACCCGCTCCGCCCTGCCCCTCACCATGTTCTGCCGACTGAGGTCAATAACCCCACCTTCTTCCCTCTTCTCTTCTTCTCTCTTCAATTGCACTTCTTTCCACCCCGCTGCCCGATCTTTCGCTTCATCAACCGCCGCTATGTCCAACACCACTGCTTTCTTCGAGGTCCAGTACGCCCCTGCTGGCTCCTCTACCCGTAAGTTTCCCCCATCAGCTCTGTTATTCTCATTTCTGGCGGCGCAGAGAGTTTTTGCCTCCCCGCCCCTGTCTTACCTTGCTGCCTCCGACATCCAGCTTTCAATCATAGCATGGAAGCTTGGCAATTTCACATCTGGCTACATTAAATGGAATTGAAGTTAATGCTGATTCCCTCATTAGCTAAGATTGGTCGCATCAACTTCAACCTCTTCGCCAACGAGGTTCCCAAGACCGCCAAGAACTTCGCTGAGCTTTGCAACGCCAAGCAGGGTGAGGGCTACAAGGGCTCTTCCTTCCACCGTGTCATCCCCCAGTTCATGCTCCAGGGTGGTGACTTCACCCGTGGCAACGTGAGTTTTTTTTCCCCTTCTAATCCTGATAGCTGCTACAATGCTCGGTGTCTGACTTTGATATTACCGGAATAGGGTACCGGTGGCCGCTCTATCTACGGCGAGAAGTTCCCCGATGAGAACTTCATCCACAAGCACACCCGCCCTGGTCTCCTGTCCATGGCCAACGCTGGCCCTAACACGTAAGTCTTGAGTGTAAAATTTCAGATGGCCCACACAGAACCATACTAAATCTCCGTGCCTTCTTTCCAGCAACGGCTCCCAGTTCTTCATCACCACCGTTGTAACCTCGTGGCTCGATGGTAAGCACGTCGTCTTCGGCGAGGTCGCTGATGCCGAGTCCATGAACGTTGTTAAGGAGATCGAGGCTCTCGGTTCCTCTTCCGGCTCCATCCGCTCCGCTGTCAAGCCCACCATCGTCAACTGCGGTGGCAACTAAAAAGCTCACTCTGGAGATTTAGTTGGATGTTGGGAGGATGAATGTCTTTCTTTTCGTCATGAACTTGGCTCCTTCGCAATGATCCAACGCGGCGTGGGACTAGCAGAGGTGGCTTTCCCTTTTGCGCCTTGTAATCTAAAGTTTCTACCAAGCTAGCTCATACATGTCCTGTTGTCATGGGGACTTGATGTTCAATTTGTGGATTTGTGCTCTTGTAAGAACGAGGATGATGAAACGCTTTTGCAAGATAAAGGCGCAGAGCCAAAGTTCTTGAAGCCTGCATTTCACCGAATGGATATTCCAAGCCGATCTATTGTAAAGTATGAAAATGGTCGAAATGAACCCATAACAAATCCTGCCCTTGCTTTTTCCAGCAGTCATCTCCACTTGTCTGTGTGGTGATTCGAGGACATCGATCGCGGGTCCGCGGGCCTACTACATCACCCGTACCCTGCGTGGGAATGACAAGTTTTTTTTTTGTGGAAAAGGTTTCCACCTCCACTTCTGGAAGTTTGATGTGATATCATTAAAATTGATTCTATGGCATGATCGACCCTTTACTCTGCTTCATTAATTATTAGAGTCCAATTGAGTAAAGCACAACTGTGATAGAAGAAAGGGTTCATACGTCATGGCATGATGGGTGAGATCAGGCCCGAGGCATATGCACGAAAACAAGGAACAATAAATCTGCATACAAGAAAGTGGATATTGCCCTCTCCCAATTCGAGGAAGAAAAGACAAATACCGGGATATCAAACCATATCGCTAGAAATGCTGTAGGATCAAAGACATAGTTGGAGCGTGAGGTCAAGACAAAAATAAAACCGCAAAGACGCTTGTTTAACCGCAGCATTTGGTGACAGAGGTAGCATCCGACCTAAAGGGGGAAAAAGGTGAGCACGTGTGTTGTAGAATTCATACACGTTGAACAAAATAACTTACTCCTGATTCAAGTTCACCGGCTCCCAGGAGAAGATGAAAGCGCCCAGGAAAGCACCGATGAAGATACAGATGATGATGTACCCATTGAAGTACATGGCAAGTAGCATGACGATGTACGCAACAGCAAACTGCGCCATATGCATCAGAGAGCGCACAGTATGCTCAACAAGCGACGGACGATACGGGGCAAGCATAGCCTCTTGTCTCTCGATGCGCTGGACATCCCGCATGGTATTAGCCGGTGCAGCAGCAATAACAGAATCCTGCCTCTTTGAATCTCTTTTCTGTGAAGACCCCGACACAGGAGTGATGACATTGTCTTCTGCGCCAGAGAACGCAGCGTCCGGGTCTGCATTGTCATCACAGCAGTTGCCGGGTAGCTTAGTGATGTCTCCTTCTTCGCTTCGCAGTGGAACGTTGGAAATTGACTGCGCGGTGGAAGAGCCCGACATGTAGAGTCTTCGAAGACGGGCTCGGCGCACAATAAATGTGTCGTATTCTCGGCCCAGACGGCGGAGGAGTTCAAGGCTTAGTACGAGACAGATCACTCCGATGCATGAGCCGGCGAACATGCCACGCGACTTCACGTGCCATGATTCGGCGAGGAAGCCTGAGGGTCGGTTAGCTTGTGGGCTTGTGTGGAGGGGTTATAGGGCTGCGTACATGCGTCAACTGTGTACCAGTTCCAAAGCATCTGATCATGAGTGTGAGCAAGTTTGAAGATATAGAGGAGTGAATCTGGCGGTATTAGACGAACCGAGATTTTGCAGTCATTTCCCATGCCCATTCCACTCATGTCCATTCCGGTGCTGCTGGCCATAGCAGCCGAGGCTGTCGACGTGGCTGACATGGTCATCCCGTGCATATCCATGATCGACTGTGGGGGATCTTCGAAAACACTGAATTGAGAGGTATGTCTTGAGTTAAAAGTCAAAACAGGAGGCAGTACGAAATATATAAACAAAGTAATTTTAGAGAAATAGAGGGTCACCATGTGATTCTGCCCCAGTGAGCAGATTTGTAGATTTGGCCCTAAAACTTAGCGGCGAGGCAGTTTGAGCAAATTTTTGGATTGGCCGTGACTGGGAACATTGAACGCACAAGGGTATCAACTTGGATTCTCCCATTTGAATCTCCTTTTTTTGGTTTTTTTGGGGTTTCTTTTTGGGGTTTCTTTTTGGGGTTTCTTATTTTTTCTTGCTCTTTTCTGCGTCACCCCCGGGATCCTTTGATGACTCCTTCCAACAATTCGCGGATCTGACTGCAACCATCGATCCCGACCGCCAACATTGTCTCAAGGTACGTAGCGTGCACCTTAGACTCCATGGTAAGTACACACACCTTCATCGCCTCTTCATCCTCATCCATATTGTTCTCGCCAACGGGCACTGCTGTCGTCGTCGCGACAGTCAGCGAAGGCAATTCCTGTTCTTCTGGAAGCGACAGATCCAGCAGCGGGTCGAGCTCATCGTGTCGTGGGTCACGCGGTGTAGAGGCGCTACCGCTCATACCGGCAGTACAGCCACAGAGTAGTCCTGGCATGGGGATTCCGGCGTCTACCAGCGCTAGGGTACAGGCGTTGATCGCCGCGGCGAGTAATGAGCCGTCGGCAGAGAGAACAGAGACATGGATGCTTATTGTGCTGTGGGGATAGAGATAGGTGTGGAGGTGAGACTGGAAGGCTGAGCGGAGGGTTGTAGCGATTCGCGATGATTGTCTATAGTCACAGGAGATTAGCTTTCGCTGAATGTGTATCTGGTTTGCTGTCGTAGTCCTCTCTCTCGATGGTAGGAAGAGATATTGGGAAAGCGTAAGAGGGTGCATACCTGTCACTTCCGCCGGCTCTCCGCTTACGATCTACACCCGCAAACCCAGCGACGTTGACATCTACCTCCACAACCGCGTGGCCACTTCCTGCAGCTCCGCCTCCACCATCTCCTCGGCGACCCTCAGCAGGGCCGTGGACAGAGCACATGATTGACGTGTTGCCCATGGACAGATATGAAGAGCCGGAGCTAGCGGGGTTGGTTGAGATCTGGGCTTGGAGCAGACGGAGTTCGTTCCAGCGGCGGCCATCAAGGCGTAGTCGTGTCAGGGGATATGTTGTCGAGGTGTCGAGCGGCATCTTTGCAGATTGAGCTCTGATAAGAACGAGAATTGCCTTGAGAGAAAAGAGGGTATGTCTAGCAGGAAGTCAAGCCTTGTTTTGTGTCCACTGTAAGCTGAGGTCAGTCAGATGTGTCTTGATTGAGCAATGATAGAAGTAGAATTCTGTTCTCGACTTACGGCTTAATCGCATGTGCAAAGAACCGAATGCCAAACCAATGGCATCTTTTTTTCTGGTTCGCCTGCACGTGACCTGGTGGAACTACTCTATGACCAGTTTCAACCCTTTCTACCAGCGCCCAGGAGATATAGACAGAGACTCAACCGTCTATGAGAAGAAAAATGAAACAGAGAACCGAATTCCCTATCAAAGAGCATCCAATTGAAGCTTTCTGAAGCGAACTGACTCAGCTTCGTTTTGAGGCCGTTATCGTCTGCCGTAACTGACGTCTTGTCGCGACAGTGTGGTACTCCCACGTTAACTTACGCTTTGTCACTATTTGAGATCTGTTGTCCGAAATGCAGAGAAGATGGATAATAACGAAAACACTGCGGAGGTCATTGCCATTGATTCAGACAACGATGACTTGGAGGTGACGCACTACGCGACTCCGACTGCTAGCAGTATGACACCTCTTCAACGCGTTTGACAGACAGCTCACATTCTCCCAGGCAGGTTTTCTGGCGTGAAACATGGGACTGATACACCGATTAAATCGGAGTCGTCCCGTACTATTCTTTCCAGCTCATCAAGCGCTGTTAAGATCCAGCCTGTGGACAGCGATGAGGAGGACGCCAACGATGGCGAGCTAGCGTATAAGAAGTTCAAGGAGCGCAAGTCCCTTAAGCGCAAACAAGATGCTTCAGCTACCCGCAAAGCCAAAGTTCCTAGGGGAGATCCAATCGTTGGTCGAGTAAAACAAGAGCGACCAACGCCCCTGGCTAAGCGGCCATTGAAACAATGGGGCGAGATATCTTCGGACGACGAGCTGATGGAGAACACCTTGCCTGGATATCTGAAAACCCGCCGCGCTCAGTTCAACCTGAAGTATGAGCATTTAAAAGATCATGGGCTCAAGCTACCACCGACTTATGAGAATGTTGATTTCTCGGATGATGAACGGCTTGAAGAATTGCAAGAACGACCTGTTTTCCCGGTGACCACCCGAAAGCAAGAGTACAAGGACGTCGAACTGCCATACTCGAGGGGCATTATTCCTGCTTCAATCGCCCAGTGGTTGCGGCAGTATCAAGTGGAGGGGGTTGCGTTTCTCCACGGGCTGTTTGTGTACCAAAAGGGCGGAGTCCTAGGAGACGACATGGGTCTCGGAAAAACAATCCAGGTGATTGCTTTCTTGACCGCTGCCTATGGAAAAACAGGGGACGAACGGGATGCAAAGCGCATGCGAAAAATGCGTCGATCTGATGACAGCGCTTGGTATCCACGCACGCTAATAGTGTGCCCGGGAACCCTTATTGCAAACTGGAGGGCCGAGTTTGCGCGATGGGGGTGGTGGCATGTTGATAGCTACCACGGGGAGAATAAAGACCTTGCCCTCGATGCGGCAAAGTCAGGGAGAGTGGAAGTCCTGGTTACAACTTACACCACCTACATGAATAACAAAAACGCTGTCAATATGATTGAATGGGACTGCGTTATCGCCGACGAGTGCCACAAGATCAAGGAGCGCAAGTCGGGGACCACCCAGTCTATGAACGAGATCAATGCGTTGTGTCGGATAGGGCTCACCGGCACGGCCATCCAGAACAAATATGAAGAATTATGGACCCTTCTCAACTGGACAAATCCCGGTGTTCTAGGACCGGTAAGCAGCTGGAAAGCACAAATATCGGACCCACTGAAGATCGGACAGTCGCACGATGCCACCCTGAGTGAGCTCAGCAGAGCACGTAGAACAGCCAAGAAACTGGTTGAGAACTTACTTCCTCAATTCTTCATTAGGAGGATGAAGACCTTGATCGCGGATCAGCTGCCCAAAAAGATCGATCGGGTTGTCTTCTGTCCCCTGACTGAGACACAAGCCGAGGCCTACGAGAATTTCCTTGACAGTGACATTGTCGATTATATCAAGACATCTACAGAGCCATGCGATTGTGGATCAGGCAAGAAGGCCGGCTGGTGTTGTCGCAGCCTTATACCAGATAGGGACCCTCCGAACTGGCAATCCTATGTGTTCCCTGCTATAAATGTGCTTCAAAAGCTCAGCAATCATCTGGCAATCCTGATTCCACAAGGAGCAGACCCGAAAGAGAAGCAGGAAAAAGATAGAGATTATCTGGAACTTGCGCTGCCTGAACAATGGCAAGATCTTTACCGTTCGCGCGACTCTATCGTCAACTACGCGAACCCCGAGTTTTGCGGCAAATGGAAGGTTCTGCGGAAATTACTTAAGTGGTGGCATTCGAATGGAGACAAAGTTCTTATATTCTCGCATAGTGTGCGTCTTCTCAAGATGTTACAAATGCTGTTTCATCACACCAGCTACAACGTCAGCTACCTGGATGGATCTATGAGTTTACAAGACCGTGCAAAAGCTGTGGACGAGTTCAATACCGACTCGCGACAGTTTGTTTTTCTGATATCCACCAAGGCTGGCGGTGTTGGGCTGAACATCACCTCCGCAAACAAAGTGGTAGTCGTTGATCCCAACTGGAACCCGTCCTACGACTTGCAGGCCCAGGACCGGGCCTACCGCATAGGACAACTTCGCGACGTTGAAGTCTTTCGGCTTATTTCTGCGGGCACAATCGAAGAAATCGTCTACGCTCGACAGATCTACAAGCAGCAACAGGCAAACATTGGATACAATGCAAGCTCCGAACGTCGGTACTTCAAAGGCGTCCAAGAAAAGAAAGACAAAAAGGGCGAGATCTTTGGTTTGAAAAATTTCTTCGGGTATCAGAACGCAAACATCGTTCTGCGGGACATCGTCAACAGAACAAATGTCGCTGAAAGCCGTGCGGGGGTAGACGTCGTCGACATCGATCTCAAAGCAGAAGAAGAAGGCTACGACTACACCGACCGATCAATGAAACCCGAAGACGATGCAATGAGCCAGCTCGCGGCGATGATCTGCCGCGACGATGACGAAAAAAACCACAAGCCTTTAGCCAGTCTTCCAACACCGCATAAACACGACCCCGTTCAAGCGATTCTCGCTAGTGCAGGCGTGGAATACACTCACCTCAACAATGAAGTGATCGGTTCCTCGCGTGTCGAGGAAGACCTCAGTCGTCGTGCTGAGCTGGCTCAAAATGACACGACAGGTGACCGCCAGGTCTTCATGTCCTCGCAACCTTTCTCTCAGCCGGCGGAGGAACCTATGCGATTCAAGTATCATCCTCCGGAGGATGTCAAACGTCGCCAGTTCTGTAGTATGGCGCGGCGGTTCGGTTATGCTGATGCTACGGAGTTTGCGCTCGTTGTTGAAGGTATGACCCAGGCACAGCGGCGAGCTTGTCTCGACCAGTGGTATCGGGAGAGGAGGGAGATACTACTTTCTGCGGCTCAAAACACTCCTGAGGAGTGGATCAAGGACAGAAAGGTTCTTAAGGAGGACATGGGCGATGAAGATGAATAGATCAAAGATGAGAAGGAGCCCAAGACGGAGAGTCCGGGTCTTTGAGTGGTTTTGCTTTTGGTGTCATTCCTTCTTGCTCGATACCCCTTTCTAGTTTTATGAATGCGATGTTTTGACCACACCCGCTAAAAACAGTACGTCTGCAGTACATGGGAACCTTCAAATCAGTGGTATTAAACCATTCTCGTGGGATGGCTGTAGGTAAATAGATAGCCATGTAAAGTTCGCAGCGTTGGTAGGGGAACTAAAGCCAAGCTACAGTCCACAAGGCCGGTAAATTGGGATGTCGTTCTTGCCAATCCGCCAAGATCTCAGGGACCTTCTCGTCAAAGCTCTGGCGTGCAGGACCAGTCCCATTTGCCCAGCCGTCGGATCCATGAACACGATGCTCAGCAACAGCAGCCTCATTCAGCCGGTTGGCCAGATCAAGAATCGCCTTTCCACCAGTCAAGGCCTCTTCATGGTTATCTTTGATATCGACATTGAAGACGTGAACGGGGTAATTGAGCGAGGTGCCCTTATTCATCAGATCATCGACCACAGCATCCCAGCAACGTTCCTCGCATGTGATGATGACATCAACCACGCCGCCCTCCGTTCCGACAGCACCCTTGTCACCCTTGGAGAGATGGTCGACGCGCGGAACACCAGGCACCCAGTCCTGGAACCGCTCGGGCCCCCACTTCAGCTGGCGATTGCGGTCGAGCATGTTCAGGATGCCATTTCCGCGGTACAGACGCTCGTCTTTGCCAGCGAGCTCCTCGTACATCTGGTTGTAGGAAGTTGTGTTGAAGCTGTAAACGTTTGGTTGGGTGATTGACGGGCCAGGGAGACGGACGAGGGAGCCTGTGCCGAAGGATATCACGGGGAAGGCAGCTGGGGCGCCGGAGAGCTGGAGGTGAGCTTCCATTGAGCGATTGTTGTTCGAGGCGCAGACTGTACAGAACTTGAGCTTGTACGAGTCTGTGGCTGCGCTGGCCGGGTTGGCTGTTTCTAGGGCTTGGGTTGCTGAGGCCATGTCGGCTTGTGTGGATGTCTCTGGTGGTGGAGGGGGAGGGGGAGGAGGTTGGGGAGTTGAGGTCCCCGAGTTTGTTCGACGGGGATCATATGCCATTTTGAGGGGAGACTATGGAGATGATAATAGAGAGAGACTAAGGGGTTGTTGTTTCTAGGTGTTTGAGGGGGGGTCGATGATCATGGGGGTTTCTTGAGTTTACAATAATCTGTTGACTATCAGAGGCTGTTAGCAACTGATATGATGAGATTGTATGTGACAAAAGATGTGGAAACACAAGTTCAGAAAAAAAAAGCGTATATGAATTTATCCGCATAGCAAAAGCTCAGACAGCTCCAATAATATATTCATCAGGTTGAGGGAAGCAGAAGGTGACACAACACACATACCTTGATGTTGTCACTCATTCTCCAGTTCGAATCATTATGGGGCCGTAGCCCTGAGAAAGAAGAGAAGAAGCAGATGGAGCGAAAGTCGAAAAGCTTCGTTTTTAGTGTCCTAGCTTAGTCATGGAGCTACCGCCAGTTCTTCCGCCTGATAGAAGACCTGGCGGGAGCTCACATTCTGCCAGACAAACATCAGCTTATCGTACAACATACGTTCAACACATCGTACTTTTTCTTTAGAGCCTCTGTCCCCTCTTTTTATCTACTCATAGGTAGCAATCAGAAACTGCAGTCTCAAAATACTTCAACCTCTCTCCATAACACTGTCCCTAATCCTCATCAACAGCCCTCTACTCCCACATCTCTCCAGCTCAAAAATGGCAGCAAATCGTATTATCAGGCCAGCCCTGATTGTTGTGGACATGCAAGAAGATTTCTGCCCTCCAGTGAGTTGATCAAATGGAATGACCTGTATACTATATACATGCTAATAAACAGAGTAGCATGGGTCACTCGCCGTGCAAGGGGGCCGCGACATTACCTCGCTAATCAACACTCTACTTGCAAAGCCAGGATTCATTGTGCGCATCTTGACCAAAGACTACCACCCAAAGGACCATATATCATTTGCCAGAAATCATCCAGGGCCTGATAACCATCCCTTCACTTCGTTCGTCACAATGAAAAATCCCGCTCTAGGAAAGAAATCAGAAACAAAACAGCAGCAACTCTGGCCCGTTCACTGTGTGGCTGGCACCTCCGGTGCAGAGATTATTCCAGAGATTGACATGTCCAGTGAACATCTAGTTGTTCAGAAAGGCATGCGTCCCGAAGTCGAGATGTACTCTGTATTTGCGGATGCTTTCGGAAACTGTGATCATGGAACCAACGCACATTCGGTCAGCTTGGATGTCGCTGCGACTCTCAAAACTCAAGGCGTTACAGATGTGTTTGTTGTGGGCTTGGCTGGGGATTATTGCGTTAAGGCTACAGCTCTTGATGCTGTCAAGGTTGGATTCAGAAGCTGGGTTGTCGAGGAAGGAACCAAGTGTGTCGTGCCTGCTAGTTGGGATGCCACTAAAAAGGAACTTGGGACTGCCGGGGTGTCTATTATCTCGATGAATGACCCCATTGTCAGGGATCTGTGAGGGCAGAGTTGATATACATCTTATTTTCCTTCGTCCTACTTTGGTTCTCACTCGGGGTTTCCCTTCCGGGTGTAACTGTCCGTGCCTTGTGTTGAATATGGATTCAGGTTCCACATTTTCTGGCCCTAGATGTCGTGCTTAATCTATTGTATAGGGCTTATGACAGTGCTAATGAGGAAGGCAATGTCATTTTCACGTGGATGTGTTGCCATACCCTGTAGGATGGCATTCTACAATTCCGCAGTCTGTAGTTCCAGGTGGAGAGAACAAACCACACGAGCTCCCGGCGATCATGGGGATTTGAAACTATCTCCAAAACCAGTACTTCAAACAGCACTTTGCAAATATGTCAGATGCAAAAATAAGCCAACGAGTGGATACGTGATCGGCAAGCAATTGCCAAAAACGTCCCAACTTCATCCCCCTTTCCGCACTACTGCGGAGTGACGTCGTCTCAAGGGGGGATTCACTTCTGAACACTTGAACACATATATCATATTTTACTACTCCGTACAGACTGAACCAAACTTCAAAACTCGAACTGCCCGCGATGCTTAACTTTCAGCGGTTATCCATGACCCCAATCATCCTCGACGAGACATTGACTGCCGATGCCGATGCGGCCCTGCACTTCCACGATCACGGCGCACCCTCTGAACCCCTCCCATATTGGCTCGTCAATTTACCTCGGTCGCAATGGACCGCAGAATGCCCTAGCTTTCTACGTGACCAATCTCCGAAGAATGTCCAATGCCTCTCCACCCCCAATCATCTTTATACTCGACAGAACTGGGAGCAGGTGAAGGAGATCATAGGTTGCGTGCAGCTTTCAGTTGTTGGTTACATACTTGACTCACTATCATTTGTAAACTACAGGTACCAACCGGATCGATCGGTTCCAGCGTGTGCCAAGCGAACTGTACAAGTATCTAGAATACATGGCGCACATAAAGGCGGAGTATACATCCACGATGAGATTTGTGGTCAAGGAACGGTTGGGCTGGGGGGATGTCAATTGGGAAGATCTCAAGCCAAGAGGGGGTCCTTTTGAATATAAGGGTATGGCACACGTCACCCGGTTGGGTCTAGAACATTTGAAAGACTAATTCACTGAAAAGAGGACATCCGAATCATATACAACGACTGGCCATATGGTGTCGAAAAAGACATCATCCATCTGGTCGTGTGGACCAAATTCGAGCTGGAAGATGACCCAGCCACAGATGATCTAACGGCAAGTGCACGACGGACCATAGAGAGCTATGTGCAGGACACATTTTGCTCTCGAGTACCACCCAACCAGGTATGGGGAATAGTCAGCATTAAGTGATGAAAAACTGACAACATAGGTGGTCTGGTTCAAGAACTGGAAGTCACTCAAGTCAGTTCCCGGGATAGAACACTTCCACGTCATGCTCCATCGTCCCGATATGGCATTTGTTAGGGAGATCACTCTGGGAGATGTACCTCTGATAGAGCGGCTATGATGTCGAGTGTTTACAAACTTGGAGATTAAAGATGGACAGGGGAAAACAGGAAAAAAAACCCCCCCCAAAAAAGGAAGGATACTCCTTTTTCCTGCATATCCTTAGTACCAATCATAATGTACGATGCAGCTGCCCAAGACTACGAGCACATGCTGCCTGCCAAGCCCATACCCCTCATTGACTACTGGGAAATTGAAAATCTACGAAAGGGGGGGAGAGGTTGATATAAGCATTTTTTGATGAAGAGACATCTACAAAGTAATCAGATATAGCTGAGCTCAGAGCCAGTCAGAAAAAATACGTCACTCCTCTCAGCACTTGGAATTTTGAAGATTTTTTAGTGTCTTTTTCAGTTTGGTGTTTTCTTGAACTACTCCGTACACAATTTCGTTTTTGTGTTTTCGTAAAAAAATAGCCCGTTTCCGGAATTCCCGCCCCAAGTCAGCTGTCTCGATTTTTTAAACCTTGAACCTTTTTTCTTCTTAATGTTCTTCATGTTCTCTATGTTCAGGTGTCAGGCTTAAAGAATTCTTCATTTCCGCAGTCATGCCGGTTCCGCATCTCCGCCGTACTTCCCAGGCCAGTGAGTTTGTCTTCCCCCCTCTTTGTATTCTAACATTTGATAATTTAACCGTTTCAACATGTCAACTAACATCACTTCAGGCAGATCCTCCTTGGAAGATTCTCCGCCAAGTGGGGAGGACGAGATCGTTGAGCCAGATCAGGGAAATGGTGCATGCAAGTCCTCAACATCCTCGGACACACACAACTGACTTGAGTTGCCATCCCAGTTCTTTCGCATATCATTTCCCAGCTGCGGCCGGGTGCCGACCTGAGTCGGGTCGTCTTGCCGACGTTCATCCTCGAACCCCGATCTATGTTGGAGCGGATCACCAAGTGCGTTGACGCCCCGCAGCTCCAGGCTTGCCTATTTGGGGCTACCTGTAAGATTTGGACATGTCAACTAACACAGGCATTTCCCTAGCTTTATGGCCCACCCTGAAACCCTCCTCCCTATGTCGGAGATTGAGGACCCGGTCGAACGTTTTGTCTCCGTGGTCAAATTTTATCTCAGTGGATGGCACATCAAACCACCGTATGTCGCCCACTTGCTATTTATCTGGGAAGACATTCTGATACCTGTATAGAGGAGTGAAGAAGCCGCTCAACCCCATCCTTGGAGAGACTTTCACCTGCTACTGGGACTATCCCGACGGGACCCGTGCCTACTACATCTCTGAACAGACCTCCCACCACCCGCCCAAGTCGAGCTATTTCTTTGCAGCACCGGAGCATAAGATTCGCATTGATGGAACACTCAAGCCTCGCAGCAAGTTCTTGGGCAACTCTGCAGCTAGTATCATGGAAGGTGTCACCATTTTGCACCTGATGAATCACGGGGATAAGGAAAAGGGTGAAAGATAGTAGGTTGCGCCGGTTCCGATGGGCCTTTCAGTCACTGACCAATACCAGTATCTTAACTCAACCCAACATGTATGCGCGTGGTATTCTTTTTGGAAAGATGAAGTATGAGCTTGGCGATCACAGCTACGTGCGCTGTCCCGAGAACAACCTTGTGGCCGATATCGAGTTCAAGACCAAGGGATATTTCTCGGGTACCTATAACGCAATTGGCGGAACTATCAAGAATGAAAAGACTGGGGAGGTGTTATATGAACTCTCCGGTTTGTGGACTGGGGAAATGGATTTGAAGAATGTCCATGTACGCTCCGCAGGCCTCCCAAGATTACGTCTGGATTCAACGCTGACCGAGAACAGACCCACAAAAAAGACGTCTTGTTCGATGCCACACACGCCAAGCATACAGTCCCTTTGGTCCGCCCCATGGAGGAGCAAGGACCACGGGAATCACGACGGTTATGGCACAACACAGTTCAAGCGCTTTTGGCCCGGAACCACGAAGTTGCAACGGACGAAAAGACCAAAATTGAAGACTGCCAACGAGACGAGGCTGCGAAGCGCGCCGATGAGGGAGTCGACTGGCATCCTCGACTTTTCCGTCCCATCCAAGGCGGCCCCGGCGGACCGGACGAGGGCGAAGAAGGCCTCGACTGGATCATTAATGCTCAAATGTAAGAACAATTGCCAAAACGCCAAAGATATCAGCTGACAGTCGCAGCGACATGCACGATCCCCAGGTCGCGACCGAACAGATCCTATCCATCGCACCCATCCTCCAAGGTCAGAAGGAGTCATCCCAGTGTCACATCCCGCCGCATAACCTCCATCATTCCGCATCCGCGAACTAGGACCCCAGGCATGTCCCTCCACAGCCAGCTAACGCCGCACCTCCAGGCTCCGAGACAAAATCAGATGCCACCCAGAGCACAGTTGAACGGACAGATACTCAAACATCAGAAGTGGAGAAATTTGTAGACGCCCAGGAAGCCTCATAAGCTGGCACGAAAATGCCCCATTGCGTCTATCTCCGGCTTCCCATCCACGCCATCGCCAACCTAATCCAACCCCGGTCTGTTCCTCGGGTCGCATTTGTCTCTCATACCATACACGCACACACTCTCCTCTCTGAATGATTCCGGAGTGGTTATTACACTTCCTCTCTTCTCTAATTCTGCCATGACGTAGTCAACCTGCGCAGAAATACCCAGCACAGCCACAACTCGAGGCGGCCGACGACACGACCATTGTGATAGTTGCCCTGCCCCTCTGATGTTTCAACACAGCGTTTTCTCGGTCACCATGCCACTCCCATTGCTGGATACCCGATCTGATCTACTTAAATTCCAAACTTCTCAAAACACTCAAAACACTCAAAATGCTCTTATGAAATCTCACCTGAAATTAAGCACATCCCTACTGGGGGATGGAGGAGGTAGGTATCAAGGCTTAAATGCGGCGTAAAGGAGACACTCCAATAGAGCCAAAAATCAATAGTCACACAGGAAGTAGAATTAAATTCTCTGCAATTGATATACTCCAAGGGCCTATTTTGGACCTTTCTGATGAATTCCCTCGGTTTTACTCACCTCTTGGTATTCAGCATCTTGCCTCTCCTGTTCAAGTCCACAGTATTGACTATTGATCGACTTCATTCGTCTTCTCTGTCCATTACTATACAAAGCTCTCCTAGAAGAGAGGGATATCACAATAGATGGCAACTACCCATACCATCACAAACAAAAAAAAACAGAACAACCAAAACTCCCCTCCGCTTTCCAAATACATACAAAACGCCGCGTCAAGCCATTCTTTGCTCCTGGGATTTACCCATCACAAAGCTGCACAAAGCTCATGAATACAACTCTCCCTTGTATCCAGCCCCACGCTCCAGATCCCGCCGCCGATTAGGCCGCGGAATAGCACCAGCAGAGCTAGTATAGGCCAAGCCAGAGCCTGCCGCCGCCGAAGCCGCCGACGCCATCGATCCACCGCCCTCATATTCCTCTCTCTCTTCCTCAACCAGGAGCGTCTGCTCCTCAATCTCCTTTTCGGTGTCCTCGCGCAAACCCAGTATATCCGGCGGGATAAAGCTCATCTGGACACTGGGCGCGCCCTTGATGTACCTCAGCTGTTCGTGGACAGCCTCGACAAGGCCTTCGAGGTACGCGCGAGTATTCTTGTTATCAAGCTTGCGCATCTCCGAAAGGGGCGGAAAGAGCGAGAAATCCGGACCGAAGTGGTTTCGGAAGGTGACAGAGTCCGGGATGGTGGGGTTGATGATGTTTTCTGCCTCGACGAGAATTGAAGTCTCGTGCGCCCATGCGCGGGAAACGTTGCGCGGCGTGTAGCCACCACCGCCCACGACCAACAAGGGAATTTTGAAGGTCTTGGTGTATGCGACGCAGGCTCCGTGCGCTTGCACGTTTAGGTTAAAGCAGCCCAGTCGGTCACAGCCCAGACTGTCGGCGCCGCATTGCAGAACGATTGCGCCTGGTTGGTAGGTCTTCATGCATGCGCCAATGACCTCTTTGAAGAGGGCTATGTAGGACTCGTCGTCGATGCCGTCGTTGAGCGGGACATTAATGGCGTGGTGGGCGCCTGGGTTGAGCGGGTGCGCGGGGCCTGTGTCTTCGCGTGCACCGGTGCCAGGGAAGAAGTTATCTTTGTCGTATTTGTGAAAGGAGACAGTGAGCACGCGGTCAGTTGACCAGAAGGCTTGCTCGACGCCGTCGCCGTGGTGGACGTCGATATCGATGTACATGACGCGTGGGTGGTGGCGGAGAAGCTGAAGTGTGCCTAGGACGATATCGTTAACGTAGCAGAAGCCGCTCGCTTCGGCTTTTTTGGCGTGGTGGAGACCGCCGGACCAGTTGATTGCGATGTCGGATTGGTTGTTGCAGAGCTTGCGCGCGGCGTCGACGGTGCCGCCGGCGTAGAGCGAGCAGTAGCTGTACAGCCCGTCGAAGATGGGGCAGTCGTCGCCGAAGTTGAAGCGCGCGACGTTATCTGCTTGCTCGGGCCGGTCAATGTCACCCGGCATGATCTGTTGCAGGAAGTCGAGGTAGTCTGTCTCGTGGAAGTCGGCCATTTCCTCATAGGTCGCAGCGCGCGAGAGATACAGGTCCATGGCGTGATGCATGCCGTACGCCATCACAAGCTGTTTGGTGAGCGTGAGGCGCCATGGCTTCATTGGATGTGACTGGCCAAAGTGGTGGGGCTCGACGGCTGGATTGGCATGCCATGATACCCGGTACCCTTGTGGACGAGCTATTTGTAAGTTCTGAAGCTCGGCGGTGGACTTGTGGTCGATGGTGGCGGTCGGGGCGGAGGGGGATGCATATTCTTGAACGATAGAGGAGCGAGCCATCGAGGCAGAAATGTGGTAAACGATCAGAAATCAAAAGAATTAGCGCCGAAACGTTCATTTGAGATGGGAATGGAATTCGACATGAGAAGGAAGTCCCTGACTAAGCAGATCTGCGGGCCCAGGGCGGGGCCAAGGATCTTGCAAGTTTCCTCTATAAAAAGGAACCAGGCATGGAGAAATTGAAGGACTGGACCAAATAGGAGCAAGGGGGGTCTTTGGTTGAAATGAAAGATAGGAGAGTATCTAGGTTGAGATCATGTGCCTACATCACTACTGGCGATGCTGTGCCTTCAGCGGTGCAATGAACATGACTATCCATCCAAGTACCCCGCTTGAATTGCCCAAGCTCATAGTAACCCCGGGGTCTGCAATTTCAACAATACTTTGCCGGTTGATCTCCTATTCGGGGGGTATTTGTGATAGTTGATATATTTCAAGCTTAATTCATTTAACACGGTGATACTGGTTCATCCTTATCAAAAAAAAAATAAAACCTAGAGGTGTACTTTCGAAACCGTCCAGGTGCCTTGGAATGTTGATCTAAAAAGGCACAAGGGAAGCGGTATCGGCTCGTGGCTTTGAATAAGTGGAGAGTGCGCATCATTGATGGACTGCATTTTTGCCTGTTAAATCTCACAGGTGGGGAAATAAAGGCCAAAAGCTTGTCTCACTTGTGCGTGGCAATGCCTAAAGTACGGTATTCCTTGCGGAGATAAAAACTATTCGCGCGGCTCATTTTCTTAGGTGAGCGTATATTAATCCTCCAGTCTTCGCTTTGACAAGATCTAAGCCTAGATCGGATCAGCCTGGCAAGTCACTACTACCTCTGTGAGCACAAGACAACAATCATGGCTCTTCCATCGGCAGCAACCAGCCTGCGACGATCTCTGCAAGATCCCCAGGTCTTCATCACAGCCCCAGGAGTCTATGACGGAATGTCAGCCCGACTAGCACTGGCAGCAGGCTTCGATGCATTATACATGGTATGCAATGCAAGATGATCTAGACATCATCTTCGACAAAAAGCCCCGAGCTGACACCGACAAGACAGGCGCCGGGACAGCAGCCTCGGTGCATGGACAAGCAGACCTCGGAATCTGCACGCTGAACGACATGCGAGCGAACGCGGAGATGCTAGCAAACCTTTCCCCGCGCACACCGCTGATCGCCGATGCCGACACCGGCTACGGTGGGCCGATCATGGTAGCCCGCACAGCAGAACAATACGCGCGGTCCGGCGTGGCGGCCTTCCACATCGAGGACCAGGTACAGACCAAGCGGTGCGGACACCTCTTCGGCAAGCAGCTTGTCGACACGGCAACCTATACCAGCCGCATCCGGGCAGCTGTACAAGCGCGCGAACGTATCAGCAGCGATATCGTGATCATTGCGCGAACAGACTCGCTTCAGCAGCATGGCTATGAAGAGAGCTTGGCGCGACTGCGGGCGGCGAGGGATGCGGGCGCAGACGTTGGATTCTTAGAGGGCATCTCGTCCCGGGAAATGGCTCGCCGGGTTGTGACCGACCTGGCGCCATGGCCCTTGCTGTTAAATATGGTGGAACATGGGTCCACGCCTTCGATTTCGGCGAAGGAGGCGAAGGAGATCGGATTCCGTGTCATCATCTTCCCGTTTGTGACTCTGGGTCCGGCTCTTCTGGCAATGCGGGAGGGACTGGAGAAATTAAAGCGGGATGGCTTGCCTGGTCTTGACAAGGAATTGACGCCTCAGATGTTGTTTAGGGTCTGCGGGCTGGATGATAGCCTTCATTTGGATGCGGCTGCTGGTGGCGTGGCGTTTGAGGGTGGCGTGGATGAGGATGAGAAATGAACGGAATACCGTCACCTGCTCTACCCAAGACAGAGTGAGTGCCTCTGCAGCGTCATATTTGTTAAGGCCGATTGTTGTGTGAAGGCACTGGTAACTTCTCCTTATGTTGTATGTCAATCCAAATCGTCTCCACCAGTCGTATGATTTTGATTTTTCTCATCGACCCACATTTATCAAAAGTGAATCCTTTCGAAGAGATTGAATTCTCTGGGTCTCTCTCATTTACCATTAACTTGTACGGAGTATACAACATAGAGAGCCATGTGTTCGAAGGGTAACTGACAGGCAAATTTAATTTCCTACAACCAATGAGACGTTTTGCAGATCGACCGAACCGAGGATTCACCCGTGTTAACCTTGGTTTTGATTACTCCAATTTTCTATGTTATAGGGTACGGGTTTTCTACGAGGATCTTGAGAGGATGAGAAAATTTAAATTGAAGTGAGTACAGGTATTCAAGGGCCGTGGATACCTACATCAAGTGAGGAGTCCAGAGACGGGTTCCTGCACGAGTAGCCCTAATGTTTCAGGAAACGCCCGTGGCAACAAATTGCGCTCCATAAACGGAATACCGATCATACCGATGTAACATATGTACAAAACTCCGGGCAAGAGATGGAGCCTTGGAAAAGCCAAGCGCTCTTAAAGTTTTGTGAGACTATACAACCCTACAACATCAACACATGAAACTGCTTCACGGGCATTGTTCAGCCCTAGTGTACCGAGTTGGAAAGGCCTGGATTCCTGAGGGGCCAGTTTCGCCATGTCATAATGGAGACAACCGGCGAGACTCGTCATGTGAGTGGGGAATGGCTTAGACGCGACCAGTGAGCATACAAAATTGGGGTGCCTTACAGAAAGAAAAAAAAATCGATCCATCGGCCGCGTAGGGGAGTCCGGCCGCAGATCAACGGCAGAGATTTGCTGTGCGTGTACGGAATACTCCGTACATCCATGGACACCAATTGACACGGTGAAGACTATCCTAATTAACTGTAACAGAGAACCCTAGAGTGTACTATGATCTGTCATGTAGTTTCAAGGTCGCAATTCACCATTTTCCCACGTAGTTGTCGACAACACGGCGATGAGGTGTCCCCATTTGAAATTGCCTTGGGATTCGTTAGTTGAGACCCTTGCCGTGCACTACGCCGATTGGTTTTATGTGGAGAATGCCGGATGACGGGGGTAGAATTTGTCTTAAAGCACTCCGTAGTGCATGTTTGAACGGAGCGCGTATATAATACAGAAATGATCATATTCAGACTCAGAAGTACTCCGTACTCCAGGTATCTCTATGTTAGGCTCTGATGTGGTGATGGAGTCATCTCCATATCTTGGAGATCCCCAGCATTCCGATCGTACACGTGTTTGACATTAGGCAACCATAAAATATGAACAATAATAGAAAACACAATTATAGAACGGTATCAGAGAGTAAAATGGGAAGAACACTAGGAGAAACAACCCCTTATCCCAAGTTGAACCTGTGCAGCCGCGATGGCATAGTATAGGCCAAGTACACAATACCATGCGAATAGAGTCTGGGCCCTTGACCACCAACCAATCAAACAATTTAAAAGGGTCGCACGGCCAGGAACCAGCCAGGAACCGGCCAATCATCAATCGAACACCCCTGACATTGTGGAGCCCATTCTCATTTTGGGGTTCAGGCCCAGCCTGACCCGTTGGTGTGTAACTTGGTATTGTACTAATAGTCCCCCCTAGTCCACTCTCTTCTCTTCTTCTCTTCATCCTCACACACATTCATTTGAATTGAAATTTCTTCTAGAGCGTTCGCTCAAGTCACTCCTTTTCAAGTTTCAATTTTCAAGATGCATCTCTCCAACTCTATGCTCTTGATGACGGCGCTGACCGCTGGGTCGGCTGTCGCTCGTCTTCACGGTCACGACCGCCGTCATGCCCACCCTAAAGATGTCACCGTCGCCCAGCCCGTTGTAACTGCTCCCGCCCAGCTTGCCGATGTGGAGAAGCGTGGTGAGGAGGTTTTCGCTACGATCGATGGCAAGCTCGTCTCCTGGATTAACAACTGGTTCGGCGATGAGACCTCTGATGTTGCCACCAAGGTCAATCAGGCCGAGTTCGCTGTTGCTCCCACTTCTGTTGCTACATCCACCACCGCGACTGTCACCTGGGCTGAGGCCATCTCGACCGCCAGCGCCGCTCAATCTGCCTCCAGCTTCTCCAGCTCCAGCTCCTCCGAATCCAGCTCCAGTTCTTCTGAATCCAGCTCCAGCTCTTCTGAATCTATCTCTGGCTCTTCTGGATCCAGCTCCAGCTCTTCTGAATCTATCTCTGGCTCTTCTGGATCCAGCTCCAGCTCTTCTGAATCTAGCTCCAGCTCCAGCTCCTCCGAATCCAGCTCCAGCTCCAGCTCCAGCTCCAGCTCCTCCGACTCTGACCATGACTCCAGCTTCAGCATCTCCACCTCCAGCTTCAGCTCCTCCAGCTCCAGCCACTGGGCCAGTGTTTCCATCGACGGCACTTTTTCCATCGCTGGATTCGGTTCCTCCACTTCTAGCAAGCGCGTCGGCTCCCTCGACTGGGACTATATCGGCAACGTTGGCAGCCCCTGGGGTAGCAATATCATTCGTATCGAAGAGGGAACCGCCAGCCAGTACAAACACGTTATCCGCTTCGAGAACGACAACTCCAAGGCCTGGACCGTCGTCATGTGGAACTCGTACGGCCCCAGCGGTGGTCTGAACGGTTTCTGGAGCCCCAACCAGGCTCTCAAATTCACCGTGGAGCCCGGCAACAGCATCTTCGTCGCCATTGATGATGACTCCCAAGGTGGTTGGGGTGCCGCCGAGGGCGAAAATCTCCCTACCAACTATGTCGGCCAGTACGCCTCCACCTGGGGTGAGTTCGATATGAGCAACTCCCAGAATAACGGCTTCTCTGGCTGGGACGTTTCCTGCATCATCGCTCAGCTCGCTGACATGCACATCGCTGGTATGCGGATTTGCAACCACGAGGGTGAGAAATGCTCCTCCATCTCCCAGGGTGCCTCCAGCGTTGTCAACGGCTACACCTCCGCCGACCAGGGCAAGCCCGACAAGGCTGTCACCCAGTCCGCTGGCCCCGTCCGTCTCGTTGTCGACCTCGGCTGGTCTTCTTAAACGGCCTCGCCACTTTTTTTTTTTTTCTGTCCATTTCCAGCAATCTTCTCGTCTCTACTGGGATATTGTCTTTCTTGCGCAAATGGTCCAACGCCGAAGGTGTCTCTGTATCTTTTCCCTGATTTGATGTGTGCGTGCGCAGGTCGCTTGTTTTGGCAACCATCCTGGCCACACATCCTTCCATCTTCGAGCGGCTCTTCGACGGCTATCCCTTTTTTGTCGTTGAGGAGTTCATACATATCTTGGTCACGATTTGCCTTGTTTGTCTTTTTTCTCTGTACATATACCACCTGAACCGTCTGATTTGAGAGTTGATATCGTTTTCTCCATTTTTCATCTAAAACTAATTACTGTGCATGCTTTATTGTATCTGGCTATCATTAAGCGTTGATATCTAGTGGTATTGAAATCTGTCCATCTTACTATTCCCCGTGTTTAATCTCACAGGATCATTAGCGCCAGTGCATTTTCACCATAAAACTGAAACGGCTCTTATCTGTGCCAAAGCTCACCTACCCCAAAGCCTATGTGCATGGGATCCTTCGGCACTATATTACAAACATGCCTTGCATGAGGCTAAATTAAAAGCTACCAATGTATGTGTTCGTCATGGGGTAGGCGCACTGACTGAGAAAGTCTGAACGTTGAATGAACCTTTCAGAAACGTCAACTTCAAGAGCCTCAATACGCAAATCACAACAATGACACCACGTGAGCAAGTCAGAATTACAGAGGCTCAATACCCGAGATGTGAGGTTCATGTTAGGGTTCAGAGGAATGCCAGGATACATGCAGTGATGGTTACCGAGGATGGATGTTTCGAAGTGTTTCTTTAGACACTCGATTATTTACCATTTTCAGTAAAGAAATCATAAATTTTTGAGCTCGCTTATAAAGATAAGAACAAAGGAGATGTCTCATGTAGAGGACCAGATAGATCAAAGACCTTTTTGATGTGGCGAGGAACCGTAGGAACGTCAACACACAAATACAAAGGACTAAACGCGATGCTATCGTACAGTCTTCACTTTCACCCAACTGAAAAAAAAACACCGAACTCGTAACATTCACAGAGCCAGACGCAAGGACCTCTTAAAGGCTTAGAACGCGCCGAGAAAGTCAGCAGCAGAGCCAGGATCAATCTGCAGAACACCCGCGTCTTCTTCAAATTGCTCTTCTTCCTCGACACCCCCAGTCGAAAAAGAAAGCAAGCCCACATGCACCATATACCCAACGAGAGCAGCTGTCCCCGCCACAGCAGTCGCAATGGAAAGCAACAAGTCCTTGTTGCTAGAATCCGCATACGAAGACAGGACCTGTTTCTCCACCGAACTAAATGCTGAATCAGCCTCAACGGCCTGCTTCAATCGCCTATTCTGGCGCACCTCGCGCAAGAACGGTGTGTTGTCAGCCAGCGTGCCGAGGAGTGTACTCCCGACCGCGGCAACGGAGATGCGCTCCGGTGCGCGCCACGGCAGGACAGCCGGCTCCGTGGGCTGGAAAGCATGCTTAACGTCGACGGGCGCCTCGCCGAAACAGCGACTGCGCATGCGCTCCGTGTACGCCGCCAGCAGCGAGGCCTTGGCGCGCATCGCGTCGCGCAGCCAGGGGAAGGCTAGCTCGGGTACGAGTGCCAGTGATAGGTATCCCAGTGCGACGCAGTCCAGCGAGGAGGGGTTGTTGTTGTCGTCTGCGGGGAGCAGACAGGTCTTGCTGCGGGCGAGCATTGCTTCGAGTGGATCGAAGAAGTCAGCTGTTAGGGCTTCTAGGCGGAATTGGTTGGTTTGCACTGTGCGACCGAGGAGTTTGGAGACTGTTTCGCGGGGCTGCTGGATCAGGTTGCTAGGGATTTGGCCGGATGCTACGGCGGCGGAGTGCTCGCGTTTGCGCTGATCTTCCATTGCTTGTAGGTCTAGCGAGGATAGGCCGAGGTGTTCGGTGCGGATTTTGGCGGCGCCATGGAGCTTTGGCGGGAGGATCCATTGATTTGGCCATTGAAGGAGAGAGCCGTAGGCTGGGGATGTGTTGGCGTAGTAGTTCTGACTGGTTACGTAGAGGTAGAGATCGAGGATGGATTGACCGCGGGATTCGATGAAGGAGGAGAAGCTGAATGGAGGGTTGGTTGTTAGTGTTTTGTGTTTCTCGCACCATTGCATAGGTAGGGCTGCTGCGTACGCAATGCTATCGGCTTTTTGCACATCATCTAGGTTTTGATCCAGGTTCCATGCACCCTCGGAGTATTGGCGGAGGTAGTCGACGATATTGCGGAACCGGCTTACCCAGATAGAGCCATTCTGGAGAGCGGGGAGCTCACCTACTTGCAAATGGCTTGTTAGTGTTCTGGTTATAGGGTTGGGTTTTTTTGTTCCGGTCACGTCACTCACCTGTTGGGGACACGGAAGGATCGCTGCTCGCGATTAGCTCCCACGAGTCTTTAGGGAGGACCTCGGAACAGTATGCGATTGCAGCAAGGCATTGCGCATCAATTGAGGGCAGGGAAAAGGCTGGGCCCCATACATGCAATTGTAGTACCATGGTGGCTTTGCGCTTGGATGAGAAGGAATGTCCGTGATTAATTTGGGCGGCCGAATCACGTGCGTTTATCCTCGGTGTCTTGATGTAAGCCCTGGAGATATTTGGCTTCTATTGACCACAAAAGACAACATCTTTTGTTCATATTAACTGATTTGTAGATAAATGGTCAGTAATTGGCGAATCTCTGATAACATGCAATTCAAACTGCTTTATAGTATCCAAAATTCCGAGATCTTGTTTAGTTGCCTTGTAATGTATAGCCGCATTTACCTTCCACGGTCAGCTGTCATATTCGATACCCTCCGAGTCAAAATAGAAATGGATAGAAGTATAGGAAAGTGTCGCGCTATACCTCAAACTTCTTGGAAGCCAGCAGGAAAACCGAGATGTGGCTTGAACTGCAAGCTAGGCAACGCCGTTTCATTCCATCAAAATTATCGACAGTTACCAACGGTATTCCGTTTTGGATAGAGTACTAACACCTGAGCTATATGTACTTCTTGTCAAAGCGAATCGGAACTATCATCCCCTGTGACCCCGAAGTTTACTTGACTACGTGCTCACTCCGTACTCAGCCCCAGGGAACATCAATATCACTCAGCCTGGGCAACAAGAATTGACGTCAACGCTCAACGGGCCTCCATCATACCACGCGCTGCATCTAGATTATGAAAGAGCCTAAATTTCCACACAAATCGCCTCTCACAGCACAGCCCAGGGACCTGGGAGCCGGCAATAGAGCCCAACGCATCTGTGGTATTCCACGATTTCCCGCAAGGTCCGTCTCAGTCCAAGATACAATCCTTGACCCTGTACATCATGAGGGGCCCCGTATCTCCGATTCAAGTGATATACCCAGCGAATGACCTCATTTGGAGCACGTGGCTGCCAAAGCCAAGGCTGACAGCCACAAACCTGCCAACCGTGCCAGAAAAGGTTCCAAGGTTATTGTCAAAAGCACTGGCATCCCCTGAGACATGCCGAGGTCAAAACTCCACGATCCGTTGATATGATCAAATATCAGGGCAAGAGCCGAAAGCCTGGGGACGGAAGCTTGCTTTGGACACTTAACATCACCAAGATAGTCTAGCTTGCTTCCAAGATTTGAACAATTGGAAAAAAAACAAATAAGATCGAAATCAATCTTGACACGATCCATGGGAGAGTCGTGGGTAACCACGGATAGACAAAGTGTATCGGGCTGAGGGGTAGAAGTGGGGAGAGAAACCTTGAAACACTATCTGTGAGATCCATTGGACACAGATTGTCGGGATTTCTTCAATGACGACAGCATACAATAGTATCGGTCAAGTGCCGGGCCAACGGCCAACGAGAATCACAGCACGCCCGTATGTATTTTCGTCTGAGAGAAAGTCGAAAGGTGTTATCCGGGCAATTTGGAAATAAATTGGAATCACGACTCGGTTGTACTATCAACTATAGGCTAGAGAAAATGTAAGCATGGAGCATTTGTTGGCCAGCTACTGTTTCTGGAAATATTAACAATGGGCCCAACTCCACTTTAATAATATGGAGTCGTAATAGCACTGAGGTGTACTCCGAAGGCCACGTACCAACATGGCTAGCAACCCCCGAAGCGCTCGGACTGGGGCCAAATTCGCATCTTCTTTCCTTGTTTCTCCGCTGGGCTATTTAGCATTCAACCGCTGGTATTACGAGCTAATCTTATACCCGCTAGGGATGATACCGGTATGTCTTAGCCTGGCGAACGTTCAGCTTCCCATGTTGGGGATTATGGGTGCATGTAATCGGGTTGGAGACTCCGTAGTATGGTGTGATTTAACGCTGGCTTTGACACATGCAATACCCAATTAATCCCACCGGTGCGGCAACAGGAGATTTACAGTAAATAGGCCACGCATTTATGCATCATACTGGATCCGGAAAATGCACTGTAAATCATAATAGGAAGCTTGATAGGGGTCGCATCACATCGGTGCTACTTCAGATCTTATGATGGAAGAAGTGCATATACAAGGTACACTATGCAGGTCTACTAACTTGATCTCCCAACAAATGAGTCATATCGACGTGTGTATTCTAAATCACTCGTATCTGGTGTGCTGATTTGCAGATGAAATATACGTCAATCCGACTACCGCGACACCCGCCCTGTGACACCCCTGCCAGTTTTTTATTGCTAGTGGTTTTCTACGGGATGCTGGCTGGTTAACGAAACGGTATCACCCGTAGCCCCCATTCTTGGTTATGCACGACATATGCATGGACCGTAAGCAATTAATTTAATGAAACGTTTTAGATAAAAGACAAATTGCTCTGTTGGGGTATACTAAGTCTATGGTACATATTGATTAAAAAAAACAGTAACAAATAGAGAAAAAGAAACAAAAACAGGCAATTAAAAAAGGCTTCCAAGCAGTCGGATGACAGGTCACAACGGTAGATGGAAAAAAAAAAGAAAAAAAAGGCACTGTGCGCCCGAGTCAATGACGCATGAGCCACGAAACGATCGAAAGGCAACCCCAGTCGACCCTAGGTACGAAGACAGGGGGACATATTCGGATTGTCCAATTAGTGTGCAGCAGCTGAGAAGCTGCGCTGTTCTCCGCATCTGCGCGTCACAGATGGGTCAAGATCGAAAAGTGAAACGAAGCCCCGCAAAGGATTGAGGGGGGGGCGTGATCAAGAGTGCAGATAGTTGAAGTGGGACAAAGCGCAAGAAATAGAAAGGCTAGTAACGCACGTCGTGGGATTGTAGCGCCAGCGCTAGGTCCCATAGCGACCGAGGAAGGTTGCTGAAGAGCAAGGGGACAAAAAAAAAGGGAACATGAGAGAGAAGTAAAAGAGAATTGTCCGAGGCCCACTTGGAAACAAGTGTTCCACCGCGCGCATCGAGCTGTGGCTAGCGACGCATCGTTGAATTGGAATGCCAAGAGACGAGAGTCGACGGTGGAAGGGCTGGCGCTCTTTGTGTGGTCCGTCTCAAGCCCAACTTTAAGCAAGGGCGTCTTTTGTTTGGGCGGCACATGTGAAAATTAGGTGTTGAAGGTCCGAATCGAAAATAAAGCCTCGCAGGTGAGAGTCGAAACTAGATCGAAGTCGAAGTCGTGATATCCATGCTGAGGGTCCAAGTCGTGGGCGGATCTGGTGGACCAGAATGCGCCAGTATCATCACGTTCGTTGAGAAGAGGGGACTATGGACTGATTATTTCGGCAGCGGAGGCAAAGGGCCCTTGGGAGGAGGACCGGGGCATGGAGGGAACTGAGAAGATCCGATGGAAGGCATTGTGGATGGTTGGAAGGCTGAGAATTGACAGTGGTTGTTCAAGTTGATAACAGACTGGAATAGACCAAGAAGCTAGTAAGATGTAGCAGAACAAGGTATGGAGTAGAGTGGATGGAGAGAAGAAAGGAAGACGAAAGGTCACCGGAGCAGGATTCTTATATGTTGTAGAAATGAAAGTCTGCCAACCTTTCCGTTCAAGCCGTCACTAATTACCGACTAAATTAGTCCCTAAAGTCCCCATCGAACATCCCTGCCATGAACAGGAGGCTGAGTATCCACCTGATCTGACGTAGGGAATTTATTGCGATTTATTTGCTCGAATTAACCTAGGTAACGGATGCATAGTGCAACCCCAAGTGGAAATCTAATGGAAATTTCTCTTTTTTTTTTCTAGAAGCTCCCCACTACTTCTAATGTGGCGCCTTGTGTTTCCTGTGAACCACTAGTGGAGGAAGAGAGTGGTGGGAAATGAGACATGGTAATCAAACGTAGATGCCGTGTAATCTCACTATCTACATAGCACAGATGCTCCGTATATGGCATTGCTGTGTTGTACAACATAGTGTATGGAGTAGCTCTTGAATTTCTGCCAAGGTCTCACAGCCACCTCTCCGTGTATGTATAGTAAAGTAAAGTAAATCATGAAACCACGCGAGATGACAACTAGTAAAGGGCAATCTCCCGTGGGCCCACTTAGGCTCCATATGGACGGTTCCTTGATGCGGTGAGAACGACTTTTTTTCTATCTTCTGAAAAAAAAATTTTAAAGATTTCTTTTTATTGCATTAACCAAACTTCGTAATTGAAACTTGATAAACGTTATATGTCCATGCACATTAATCCTGTGCGACTGAACTTGAGAGATTAATAAGATGTCACAACACGTGCAAGTTTGTAGATAGAGGGAACGGCATTAGCGGGAGAAAAAAAAGCAACAACCCCCCCCCCACCCCCCCCAAAAAAAACAAAAAAAAACTAAAAGAAAACACGCTTTGGGAGATTATTACATTTTTGTTTTTTTTTTCTATTTTTTGGTTTCCATCGATTTAGGGTCAAACGGGATGGCCGATTTGCACTGATTACACACTAACAGGGCGTGACAGCGGAGTTCCCAGAATGCTGGGATTACAGAATAAGGACAAGTCTGTTTGTCTTGATTCCTTCTAAATGAACTGATATGACATATAATACACGTATGTATAAGCCAACATAACCAGGTATGTGTGCACATACACACCATCCAGATAACAACGACCACGGTACAGTCTTAGGAGATACAAAGGAACAGATGAAACTGCCAAAACTGAAAAATGCAGGGTTGAAATCTCTAATCGAGGACCCATCCTAAACCGTGGTTCTTACCCGTGCTACCATGCCAAATAAAGCCACGGTTGAGACATGCAAGAATAGAACGGACCCTTTGGGGTAATACATGAGTTTCTTAACTTCTACGGAGTAACGGTTTTCGTTTTTGGTTCTCCGTTGTATGCACTTCGGCTATTATTTCATATTGCAATGCGCTCCGTATTTCGGACCTCTTATCTTTTCTCCTATCGTTTACAACTCTCGCTTAGACCCTCTGGGGCTCTAATGGCAACTTGTAACAAAAAAAAAGGCCGAGTCTTCAGTCGTTTGGCGTGTACCTTCATCCCCGACGGAGTACAGAACCGATTAACCTCCGCCTACAGGACTTGTGGCTGAGAGGCCCTGGGTAGGATCGTCTTCCCATAGAGGACTGTGCATTGCACATCATTTCTTTTGAAAGTACTCCGTATTCCATAAGCAGAACAGCGTCGTAGCGCATATGGAGAAAGATGGATCCCTATATGTATTATAACTCCAATCCGCATGATTATTGGCTCTTGGTGAAGATTGCATCGAGGGGGGGTTATCCAACCATCCCCCTCATCCCCTTAGTGGATGAATTATGCACATCACTGGGCCTTAGGTTTCACCGTGGGAGATCTACTTCACCCCTGGTGTGGCGTTCATAGAGTGATTATAGGTAGCAGTTACTTGCTTCTGTTATAGATGCGTGGTGTGAGCATCTTGTGTGAACTGGATGTGTAAATGTATTTGACGTGTGGACTACCGACTACTAACTCACACTCCCCATCTGAGGAGAATCCTCCAGCTTCGGGATGTTTGCAATCCCGGAAATTATCTGAGACCTAAAATAATGTAATGGTTTTCCGTCACATCCGCCATGTTCCCTGTTCTGAGCCTTTTCTTCATCACCACATTTGGTCAATCCAGGCAGAGAGATTATCAAAGTAGACACAATATTGCACAGCGTATATTTCTGTAAGGAATCCATACCAATGCACCCTGCCTTATGTAGTAAGACCGTGCTAATGCTCATTTGCCCTAAGTGCGGGTATTTATACTCCGTAGTGCTCTACTCCGTACAAAGAAACAACACACAACGGTCCCGCTCGGGATTTGCAAACAAGTCCCCGCATATTTTCAAAGGGGCCAGTAAACTGAATTTCAATACCATGGAATAATTGGACCTCCAGACGGAGTACTCCGATTACAACATCCAGCATAATTTGACAGCCTGGTTTACCGTGTTTGATGAAAAAGGTACACGGAGTGCAAAGTGGGGTGGCAAGTGGCAAACATGGAATTCTGTATGCGACCACACGGGTGTACCTGAGCTAAGGCCTCGGGAACCAAAAAGGGGAAAAGAAAGAGAAAGAAACACATGGGAAGAAAACTCTACTCATGAACTAACGGTCCACAAACTTCAATAACCAATCCTAATTTGGCAGGGTCTACTCCACTTGGGATTCCATCTCACCGTTCCGCACCGTTGGAAATAAAAGCTGTGGAGTGGTGATTTAGGAGTCGGAGATTTACGACCCAAAGTCTCTTCGTTTTATAAATCGGACTTTGCCACTGGTAGTAGCACGATCGGGTTGAGATATTCATTTAGCCTATTCATTGGCTGTTAGTTTGGAGGGTATTCTAAAGAGTAGTGATGCTTCAGTTAATAAGCCGGGTATGCTACACAATGCAGTCCAATCGAAAAAAAAAGGCAATGCGTAAATTGTCTAAAAGTTCAGTGCTGGAGGATGCTCACATCTCCCCGAGCCCAGCACATCGGGACGAAAATACATCTCCATTTAGAAGGTGTTTGTTGGGATCACGGGACGAGATGGAGACGGGCTGTTTCAAGTCGAGCTCCACTTCAAAATCTTCTAGCTTGCCTTCTGGAAGTTGCGGCCCGAGGTCACGAGAGCCCATACCACATGGGGGTTTTCAAATTAGATGAAATCGAAATGTCTCCGAGGAAAGTGGAATGTGTGAGATAGACTGGTTTCATGCCCTTGTCCGTGTTGTCGTAGAATGTCATAAAGGCGACCGAGACATGTTAACCAAAAGTCATGTACGAAGTAGTGAAGTCGCATCACGCCATGTCTAGTGGCATGTAGATCATCGAGTTTTAACAGGTTGCATATGCCTGGGGTCCCGACGCTGACATTTTCGTCTCAGCGGCTCTGTTTGCATGGCACCGTGCCTGAAGAAGCCATCTGGGGGGGTATGACAGCCCGCCACCTGTGTAACCTGTTGATCACAACATCAAACAGCCCAAATTCGGTCGCGACCGGTGGTGGGAAAGTGTTGTGCTCTCAAAAGTGACACCTAGCCTCCTAGACCATGGTGTCGATGTACCACGCGACAGAAGTCCCCGAGCCCATGATCTGACAAGATGAGACAAAGCCTAGCACCTGATGTTTCTGACACGGACAAATTGAAGCACAACCTTGGAGCGTTTGTAGGGGGTTGGAACAAACATTATCATCAATCTTTTTGGCAGTATCACAGGGCCCTGGACGATTGATCATCCCACCACGGCTGCCCACATAATGATGTTGAGAAAGCTTGAGCGTACGAGGGATCGCTGTCAGCCACATTGACTATTGCCCGGCTCACCGGCAACATGACTTAGATCACTCGTCATCAACAGATGCCTGAGCCTGAGTTGAAATCCATTCTTCCATCAGAGGTTGCCGATTTGATTCAGATACCACAGCACCTGACCTGGTTTTGTCGTCCTTACGGGTGATCAACAGACATAACACCCATCCATAGATATTGAAGCTCTCATAACGGGTGCTGAAACGAAGTTTCTTTTCCTCATCGCCAGTTGTGTCTTTGGGTGACACCCAATCTTCCCTAGTTGTCCGGCTTCTCTTGCTGGACCGAGTTTCATTTCCCAGTGCAACTTCATCCGCGGATTCGGGAATATGGTGCAGTTCTAGATCAGCCTCACTGTCACTTTCAATCATAATTTCGCCATCTGCCGAGTTCACCGGGCTGGCAGCCGTACCCCCTGAGACTTGATCTGGTTTCATCTCTATGTTCAACCCTTGAACCTGATTTTCCTTTCCGTGGAATGTCTTGTTTCGTGTGAGGAGCGAATGGCGGGTACGGGATTCGCGGAGGAAGATGGCGACTTCGAAATCATCTAGGTAATGTATAAGCGTAAATGATTCATTATTGGAGGAGTTTCGAGTGTTCTATACCTTCTACAATGACATCTTTGACCGGATGGCCCTTCTTGCGCATGAATAACCGCTCATTCTCTTCGCGCAGCTTCGGAAGAACCAACGGTCGAACCGCAGCGAGAACGCGCGGCAGGACTGGATCGTGAGAGTCCAAGAGCCATCGTGAATCAGATGGGGACTCCAAATAGATGCGACATTCCAGTACTGAGTATTTGCTAATGCGGAGGTATCGTCGAATGGGCGCCATGTTCAATTGTGTTGCGCAAGGAATGGTCAAAGGGCTTTCCCTCTGACCTCAAGGCCTTGCCAAGCGCTTTTGCCGCCGATCCTCTGATTGGCGATCCAGACGCGTGCAAGGGCTAAAAGGACTCCTGATCTCTCTCTCAAGGGAGCCATCAACCACATTCCTTCAAACCTCTTTTGATTCCTCCCGTCTTCCTAACCTAGCATTTCCATGAAGAACAAAAAGATGGAACTAAGAAAAATCGACCGGCCTCATATTATCTACACGTGACTGAGTCCTCAGCACGCAGGTTTCAAGTGCCGGGTACTACTGGCCACACTTACTATTGTATGGATATTGAAGTATGCAGTATGGAGCATTCCTTACTATTAGGCAAGATTGTAACAGTCAGTCATTGACGTATTCGCGTTCCCAATGGATCCCCTCTAAGGCGATCAATAAATTCAAGATCCCACAAATTCTGCTGCATTGATTGCTTTCACAGTGTGACTCGTGATCAGAAGAACAAGGTTCGTATCCTTTTCGCTTTCTTCTGTTCGAGATTCGTATTCACAAAAGTTGGCATTATCAGGGTCTCCTGGTAATTTCATGTGTGATTAGTGAACTGACTACGCATCTCGCCTAGCATAGAGGACCTTGGAGATTACGGTCAACTAGCCTCCCCCACGCCCCCGCTAGCTCTTCTCATCTTAGCTAGATCACAAATTCTCCTCTCCTCAATTGGTACACTCGCAGCAGTATCTACCCCTGCTTGTGTTCTGTGCACTTCATTGGTGCCCACAGTCCGTTTCGCCCCACTTCTATCCGTCCGCTTCTATACTTGTTGTCTCACCATAAATCGAGCCCAATGGAGTCCTACTCTATTTTCATCAAGCGCAAGGATGCTTGTGAATCCGGAAATGAGTTTGACGGTCGAATGGGCCTGCGCATCTCTTCCATCTTTGTGATCATGGCTGGCTCCATGTTTGGTGCTCTGTTCCCCGTCTTTGCCCGTCGCTTTGACAAGAACGGTGGATTTCTCAAATGGGCCTTTTTCGCCGCCAAATACTTCGGATCCGGTGTGATCATTGCCACTGCTTTTATTCACCTGTTGGGTCCAGCGGAGGAGGCACTAAAGAACGATTGCTTAACCGGCCCAATCACTGAATACAGCTGGGTTGAGGGTATCATTCTCATGACCATTGTTGTTCTGTTCTTTGTGGAGCTGATGGTTATGCGTTTTTCGCATTTTGGCCAAGGCAATTTGCACGATGGGGAAGGCAATACCCACACCCTACTCAACGATCACTCTATTGTCAACAAAATCAATGAGCCGAAGACTCACGTGCCGGTGGATGATCACCTTGGCCATACCCGTGAGCATCATGACAACAACAGCGACTCCGAAAACGGCATTCAAGCGACTGAAGACTATGCTGCTCAGCTCACTTCGATCTTCATCCTGGAGTTTGGTATAATCTTCCACTCTATTTTCATCGGTCTCACTCTTGCAGTGTCAGGCCCCGAGTTTACAACTCTTTACATTGTGCTTATCTTCCATCAGACTTTTGAAGGACTTGGTCTTGGGTCTCGTCTAGCTACACTCTCATGGCCCAAATCAAAGCGACTCACTCCCTACTTCCTGGGCTTAGGCTTTGGATTCTCGACTCCAATTGCCATCGCTATCGGCTTGGGCGTCCGAAACAGCTACCCGCCTACCGGACGAACCACACTAATCGTCAACGGTGTCTTCGACTCTATCTCCGCTGGCATTCTAATTTACACTGCCCTCGTTGAGCTGATGGCACATGAGTTTATGTTCAGCCAGTCCATGCGCAAGGCTCCCATTCGCGACGTGCTGATTGCCTTCTTCCTTCTTTGTGCTGGAGCTGCCCTCATGGCGTTGCTGGGCAAATGGGCATAGAGGTAGGTAGATTACCTCAGTGATGAAAGATTTGGGAAAACTTTGCTACCCGATAATGCGTCATGTCTTCGCTTCTCTTTGCCATTTTTTTGGTCAGATATCGTTTCTGAATCTGTGGTACCCACGGAGTCTGGGCCCTTATTAGCAACACTCTTATCCGGCGTTACTTCAGTAAAAAGGTTTGCATAAGCCAATGAATAAAAATCTATCAAAACAATTCAACTGAAGACAGTCAAGTGGTAGCAAGAGATGACACAACCAGTAGTAGACCTAGGCAAGACCGATCTTACTTCCCAGCACAACCCACGTGCTCAGCTTGGCATCCGTGGGATGCAAAGTCCAAGCGTAGATAAGCAACTAGCTTAATTCATAGTTGCACGTTGCATGTTTACCCGTTTCCATAGGGCGAGTGCCTGACAGGGGTTAGTTCCCCGCTTCAACTTGTACAAAAGGTCAGAAATGAGACAAATATCAGCGAATTACCAGGATTGCATGATCCCTCCCGTCCTTTCTGAAAGAACTATGATCGAAACTTTCCCCAAACTCATATCTTAACGGCTGGCGAAATGGCTTCAGCACGCGACTTAACCGCGCTCCCTGGGTGTGATGAGTCTAAGGCTGCTACTCAAGATGCTATCGACCAAGTTGACACTGCTCATTCATCGGGTATGTCGTTGAAGCAACAGAGTCTATCAGATCTTTTCACTATTGTGAGTGCACCATCCCGGCCTAGCCATGCCAGGTTATTTTCGCTTTCCCCTAACTCGCGGTTCAAGTTGGCAAATGAAAGCTGACCACCTGGACGATTTTCATCAGTTTGCAAGTGGCTTCGCTCTGATCAGCGATGGATACCAGAATAACATGATGTAGGTCAAATGATGGCCTCCATGCACGACAATGTCTAACCACAAAACACCCCATAGGACTATGGCCAATGTCCTACTCAAGAAGGAATATCCCAAGGAGTACACTACCACCGTCAGCACCCGTGTTTCGAACGCTCTACTGGTCGGTGAAGTCATTGGGCAGGTTGTCATTGGGTACGGAAAAGACACTACTAAAGGTTAGGGCTACGGAAGGGTCCAGACGACTGACGATAATACACTAGACTGACATGCGACTATCTTGGCCGTAAGACCGCTATCGTCTTCACAACCCTGATGATTGTTATCGGGGGCATTCTTGCCACGGCCTCTCATGGCGTTACCACCAACGGCATGTTCTGGATGATGACGGTTGCCCGTGGGGTTGTCGGGTTCGGTAAGTGAAACTTGCGTATCTGAGGACAACACTCCGGATTGTTTACTCTACTATCTCAAGGCGCCGGCGGCGAGTATCCGGCTTCTTCAACTTCCGCCTCGGAAGCAGCAAATGATCTAACCCCGAAGCACCGCGGGCCGGCATTCATCATGGTAACCAACTTCCCCCTGTCATTTGGAGGCCCGTTCGCAGTATCAATCTTCTTGATCGTGCTCTCCGCCTGCCAGCAGTCCCACTACAGTACCGTGTGGCGGGTGTGCTTCGGCATAGGATGTATCTGGCCGTTGTCGGTATTTTACTTCCGAATCCGCATGCTGAACTCGGTGCTGTATCGACGTGGAGCGATCAAGAAGCACGTACCCTACACACTCGTGCTGCGGTATTACTGGAAAGCGTTGATTGGGACTTGCGGCGCTTGGTTTCTCTACGGTAAGAGATGGCCTTAGTATTTGCAGCGATGTAGAAATTAACATGTACAGACTTCGTCACTTTCCCCAACGGCGTCTTTTCCGGTACAATCATATCCTCGGTCGTGCACGATGGCACAATCTTAAAGACAGGCGAATGGCAGCTCCTTCTCGGCGCAATTGCACTACCAGGTGTCTTCCTCGGGGCCATTCTCTGCGACCGCCTTGGCCGCAAGCGCATCATGATGATCGGATTTAGCGGATACCTGATCTTTGGCTTGATTATCGGCTGTGCCTACGACCGTGTTACCAAGATCGTGCCTCTCTTTGTCGTCTTCTACGGATTGATGCAGAGCTCGGGCAATTTCGGTCCGGGCAATATGCTCGGTTTAATTTCGTCTGAGTCGTATGCTACAGGTGTACGAGGGACTTGTTATGGGCTTTCAGCGGCCATTGGGAAGGCTGGTGCTGCTGTCGGTACGCAGGCGTTCCAGCCCATTAAGAATCACCTGGGGAACAAGTGGACTTTCATCATTGCTGCTATTTGTGGCGTTGTTGGTGTCTTGGTGACTTTCTTCTTTGTGCCTGATTTGACGGGCGAAGATTTAAGAGTACGCGATGAGAAGTTCCGGGCTTACCTTGTTTCCAACGGCTGGGATGGCGAGATGGGCGAGGATCATTTTCAGGCGGCTGCTGATCAGGACATAGTCCCGGGCCTTCCTACTAGTGAAGAGAAATTCGTGCAGCAGACGGTGAGGGGCTAGAATGGCTTTTGGTGTACGGCTGTCAGTGACCGATGGCTAAAAGTCAGATATGAGGACGTCATAACATCTCCAGATGACCTCAAACCTACCTGTTGCTCAGATATCAATTGTTCAGGTAGAACCACAGTGGAAAATCCCCACAATGATAGTCGATAATAACACAAAATCTTTAACCACCCTGATGCATACAACTACTAGATTCAACTCACCCATGTATCTATCTGCTTCATTTGGCATCTTCAGTGCATACCAAGTGGCAAATTTCAAATCATCGCTTTCGTCTAGTCCCTAGAGCATCAAATTAATAGATACCAAGCAACAAATAAGGATTTCTCGAAATAAATCCCCGATTGACCACCATGGGCGTAAACCTCCAGGGCCAAGAAGCTTAAAGCACAGACCAGCGCTAAACCTCGGTCCAATCTCCGCCTATCTGTCCACATCCCCAAACTCCTCGTCTATCCAACTCCCCTCCAATCCACCTCATAAATACACAATGCGTCTCACCTCCATCCTCGTCGCAGCCCTCGGCTCCATCGCAGCTGCCGCTGAGCTTGGCATCGAAGTAACCCATGCCGTCGAGTGCACCCGCAAGACCACCAACGGCGACGAAGTCGCCATGCACTACCGCGGCACCCTGCAGTCCGACGGATCCGAGTTCGATTCCAGCTACAGTCGCAATGCGCCTTTAACCTTCAAGCTGGGTACCGGCCGTGTCATTAAGGGGTGAGTTGAAAGCTATCCGGTGCTGTTTATGGATGTCAATCGTGCAATTGCCTACAAGTATCCTCATCATCTTGGTTTTTCGCATGGAAGCTAATTCTCGTGTTCGTTGTATGTAGATGGGACCAGGGCTTGCTTGACATGTGCATTGGCGAGAAGCGCACGCTGACTATTCCGCCTGAGTTCGGTTACGGTGACCGCGGTATTGGACCTATCCCTGGCGGCGCGACATTGGTGTTTGAGACCGAGTTGGTCGGTATTGAGGGTGTGAAGGATGAGCTTTGAATTGGTGGTGCTTAATGCCTAACCTATGTGACTCTCTGGAGGAATTCTGATGTTCGGCCGTGGATAAATGGATGCCTTTTCGAATGCGAGTTGTATAATATAGCATCAGGGTATCTCATTTATATGTGGTAAGATGTACACTGTATACAAACCGGCCGAACAACGATAGCAAAGCAATACAACAATCAACAAGTGGATCAAGTATTAGTCCATCGCATCCAGAGCATCCTCAGTCTGGATGTCATGTTCCGAAACCAGGATTCCGATTAGACACTCGCCAAGTATGCCCTCCCAATTGACCCACGGATGAATCTCCTGGAACAGCTGTGCAGAGTCCTTTCCCGCGCCTCGAAGGAGCTCACCCTTCCCACCTGGATGGTAAGGGGCGTAGGGAGAGATGTTGTACACCTTTCCATGGTACGAAGTCCAGGCATCACGACCCTTACGCCCGTGCTGCTCCTTCAGCATTGACGGTGTGACCCGCAGCAGGCCTAGGGGAAGACCTTCACCGCGGAGATTGTTTTTCGGGTTCGCTGCCAACGCTGCCCAGTCAAGGGGCGAGAATCCTGGCTGGAGAATCACTTTACGTGATGACTTCTTCAGAGATACTTGTGTTGGGGCGAGTGTGCTGTTGCTAAGACGGGCGCCGTTGCTCGGTGTGCCCAGACCGCGCTTAGAGGCGGCTACTGATGGTGGCGGGCTGAGGGGGCTGCCGCTAATCCGTGGGGGTTGGAGCGTGCTTGTGGGGGTGAGGCGGTTCGCTTGAGTTGCTGGTCGGAGCCGTGGTACTGGGGGTGGAGGCATTAGGGAAGAGGCGCCGGTGGTTGTTGCCTTCGGAGGCAAAGATGATGGCTGTGGTTTTGGAGGGGGTGCGAGGGATAGCTGCGGTGGCGGTTGGAACTGTGATGCCTCATGATCATGGTTTGCCGGGGATTTTTTCTCTGCTGTTCCATTCGTGGTTTGTGAAATCAATGGCGTCGTGGCGGGTTGGCATGTCTTGCTCTCGCCGTTGTCCAGGTTGAATGTGGGAACCGCAAGAACGGGGAGCGGTACACTCGAAGCTGAAGCCTTAGGGGTGCTCTGGGAATCCTCCTCCTCTGTCTCTATTGATGGTGTCGAGGCCCGTGATCCATGCTTCCGCTGCACAGGCTCGTTTGCGGTGGCAGCGGCAATCGGCGCGTCGGGGTTGGGTTCCGGAGAGGCTACAGAACGAGGTTCAGCCCAGCTGCGAGGAGGGTGGCGGTAGAGAAAGTAGCCTATTGTTGCGATAAGCACAACTGCACCTACCCAACCCATGCTGAACTAAATCAGAAAACTGAGAGAGAGAGAAGTGAGGCCGAGTGCTCCTGATTAAATCCTCCTGCAGAATCGCCGATGAAGTGGCCCGTGCACCATCAATGGAAGATCTGTGCAGCATTCAGGGTCTGTTCAACAGAAGCTTAAATATTACTAGGTCAAAGTTGTAATAGTATTGAGAACATTGTAGACTCATTGTATTAATTCATCTAAAAGAAAAGTATTTACTATGCTGTCTGTCCCAACAAGTGAATAAAATCATAGCCGGCAGTCAAAGATTAGACAACGCTGACAAATTTGATCTGGGGAGGGAATGGACTCCGGGGAAGCCATTGAAAGCCACCAATTGAACATCTGTAAACAACCTAGCATCGGTTGAGAACAGAAAGCGTTCATGATGTCAGTGCATCATCATCCTCCAAAGATGTCGTGACAAAATCTTGTCTAAGTCCTTACGAGATATTGATTTCGCACATCAACTGCCCAAACATGGTTGTGGCTCACAGAGCTCTGAGGGACCAGGTGTTCCGTAAAACAATGTCTAGCACAGATGCAATCACGCTCTTTGATGCTGGGGCTGGTCAAGTGAGTCGGAAGGCGCATGGCCCTCGCACAGATCGTACTTACCAATAACCAAATGATAGTCACAGGGTGGTAGGAAGTATCAAGAGGATCGCAGTGCAGTGGTTTTTCCAAATCAATTTCCTTCAAACATGAAGGACAAAGTTGCATTCTTTGCAATCTATGATGGGCAGTAAGGAAAGCCTCAAAATGGCTTCCTTTAAACCAGTGTTGAACTGACCAACATCTTCAGTGGTTCGGAGTTGGTTTCGGAACACGCTAAACACAGTCTGCATCACCTGCTCGGACGGCGTCCGGAGTTCGAACGAGATGATTGGACCGCGGCCATGAAGGCAGCACTGGCAGAGGAAGACAGGATGCTGTTGGATAGGTTTGAGCATGAATCTGCCGAGCCTGCTATTTCAGGGTCGACAGTCGCAATGTGTTGCCTTAATCTCACCAAGGGCGAGCTGGTTGTCTCCAATCTGGGCGACTCACACGTAATCCTGGCCGAGCGGGACCGCAAAACAGAGCATCCGTATCACATTGTACGCACTGCAGTTGAATTGAGTTGGTTTGAGCGTGGATACTAACAGCCATACCACTAGCGACGTCTCACAGAGGCTCATAAGCCTTCAACCCCTAGCGAAAAGACCCGAATTGAAGAGGCAGGCGGGGTAGTCAACAACCGCAGCGGTACAGAGCGGCTTGGTATGGCAACAAAGGAATATGACCTTCCAAATTTAATGCTGATCTCTGATGGCCAGGCTCATTGAATATGTCTCGAGCACTGGGCGATCTGCAGTACAAGAATCCGGTGAATACGTTCATGGACAACTCCGTGCCAGACCCCGCCTCGTCAGCTAACAGTCAATCGGAATCTCGGGGCAACTTCCTATCTAATGATCCCTACACCTCGCGACGGACATTGCACACGGGCCGCCGTTACCTGTTACTAGTGGTGTCCGACGGAGTCACCGATCGAGTGGATGACACAAACCTTGTTCGGCACGTGATGAAATTATCGATGCGGGGAAAACGAGCAAATGAAATTGCACAAGAAATCGCCACCAGCAGTGCTAACAATCCTCACAGTGACAATGCAACATGTATTGTAGCGATGTTGGATGGACAGGGATCGTGAGATGGAGATGCTTCAGATCTCTACAACATAGGGCGATGGTCAAAGTTAACCAAAGTTCCACTCGGGCAAATGTTATGCAGCAACGGAGTACAGGTTCGCTCCTTACCCAATGAAGAAGGTGGACTATTTTGAAGTTTTCACATTGTTTTAAATTCATTTTTAACAAATCAGAATTTGACTGTTTTCAATTGGTCCAAGCCCAAGAAAAGGAAAAAATAAAAAAAAAGACAAATATGGGCAAAGGGATTTAAATGTAGCAAAAGAAGGAAATTAAGGGAATTAAGGGAATATACAACATAGGAAATACAGGAAATGTAGGTTTAGAAAATTTGGGTTTTTCATTTCCATTTAATACTTGAAATTTGTAAATTGTCTACTTAGAAAAATACTTAAAAAATTACAAAAGTACATTGTATAAAATGCTATCGGGTTCTCCGTGACCCTTCCCCGCCCTACAAGGTCGTCTTATCGCATCCTCCTCCCTTTTTTCCCTTCAGGATTCTAGTCCAATGTATCTATTATTATTGAACCCTCAGAGGCTCCAGGGGGGACACAACCAATTTGAAAACCCGTCAGACTACTTTAGGCAGGCGACTCAAGTCTCGGAGTGGAGCTGGCAAAAAGAAGCATAAGATCCGACTCTAGTCACCTTCCAGAACGGTCAACCCTGCAGAGGATCTCCCGAGCGAGTTAGATACAAAATCACCCGTCTATTCCACTGAATTATTTTTTCTTTCCCCTCTGATCCAATTTTTCCATTTCCGTTATCGCATGCTTGTCTGTCTTTTATATCTTGTTTCTCTTCAACGATCCTGAAAGAAATCCGGGAACCCTCAATCATCCGGCATGGCACCAAAGGAATGGAGTAACTTCCATGTAGGAAGAGAATTTAGCCACCAAAAGTGGTCTCGTCAAAATCCCCCCAAGTTCACCGTCTCTTCTGGGGAGACTGTCTCTTTTGATACTATCGACAGTAGCAACGGCCAACTTGACACCTCATCCAAGGCCTCAGCAGTCAAGACGTTGGATCTCGACCGAGTCAATCCTGTTTTTGGCCCGATCTATATGAATGACGCTCAACCCGGCGATGTCCTGAAAGTGGAAGTTCTGGACCTTCAGGTTGCCGACTGGGGCTGGTCCGCCATCATTCCAGGTTTCGGTCTGCTCAGTGATGAATTCCCAGACCCCGAGATCAAGATCTGGGAGCTGAACCGCGAAGCAGGCTTCGCCCAATTCAAAAACATGCGGATTCCCCTGCGTCCCTTCCTCGGATGCATGGGTCTTGCCCCGGCCAACGACGAAGAACTCTCGACTGTGCCACCCACAAACGCCGGCGGAAACATGGACTGTCGAGAGCTTAGCGTCGGCTCTATTGTCTTCCTTCCCGTCCAAACCGCTGGCGCCCTCTTCAGCTGCGGTGACGGTCACGCTGCGCAGGGCCACGGCGAGGTCTGTGGCACCGCCATCGAAACCCCAATCCGCGCTACCCTCCGCTTTGAGCTCCTCAAGAACCAGCCCTGGATGACAGCTCCCCAATTCCAGACTCCTCCCCGCGCCCAAATTCCAAATTCCATTCCTGACCTTGGAACCTACGGTGCTCTCGGCATTGCTCCTGACCTGTACGAGGCTGCCAGAAATGCTACTCGGAATCTTATACAGTGGTTGGTACAGACTAAGGGTTTCACTCGCAGCGAGGCATACATTCTTGCTAGTGTCGCTGGTGACTTGCACATTGCTGAAGTTGTCAACATGCCCAACTTTGAGGTGGCCATGACACTGCCCCTGGGCATCTTCTCTTGATGAATTCAGTTTTTCTTTTCAGTTTCTTTGGAAGATATCCTTGATTGGTTCCAAGAGACCATAAGCTGGCGTGATACCCTCTTGGGAGTATTGATTGGTTTTGTTGTGATTTCATTTTGATTGGACGCATATTGGTGTGGCTGGGATGGTGTATTTGCATAATTCAGGACAAGCGTTACTCAAGCGAGCATGATTTTCTTGATGGAGTCCTTCTATTTGACCGACGAATCTATCGTTACCTGATCTGTACGCATTCTTTTCTTAGTAGAGTGACTATCCTATGCGCCATACCGAGACGGTCTCAGCTGCCACTCTTCTGAGGGCGTGGGTATGCGCGAGTCGGATCAAGGTCAACTGCAATTCGAGTTCACACGGACTCCACTCTGTGCTGAGTCTTATAGATACTCTCTAGTTACCGGCTTGATGGCCGTTGCCAATCCAAATGAGTTTGTATAATTTTTTTTTCCCCATGCATCTCATTAACTCAAATTGAATACTGTGGAGATTCACTCTGGTCTCTTGGTTCGAATAATTTGATGTAAAAACATACGTTAAACCAACAGATTGTGTTCAAAGAAAATGAAGTCTTACGACCCATAACTAAGTCTGCCAAAAAAGGAATCCTCCGTTGTATCCACAAGCCTAGTGTCTCGACATCTGGCGCCTCGATAACATAGGTATTGTTTCTCATGTGCATAGTGATCGTCGAGTATTAATTAAATCGGCGGGCCTCGGCGTATGTGGATAACCAAAATGGCCCGTGCGCTGATATCGTTACTGCGCAAAGAGCAACATAGCCGCTCGGTGTAGGTTACAGTTAGCATGTTATAGATGCTTAACACACTTTGAGGAGGCGTGGGACTACGAAAATTGAGAGACTTCTTATCACTGTTCTTTGAGAATGCATTTCTAATTAAATCTCTATCCCTTCGCGGCCCCGGGGCTGTCGCCGCTTGTAGGGTTCCCGATCCTAGTCTATACGAACAGGCTAAAATACATCCAGTGGTCCATGACCGCAACAATTCCAAAAAGTAAAATTGCTGGCACAGATTTCGTGCAATTTCGGTGACGAATTTGTGGGGGCCAGATCCTGAGGGTCATTCTTCGCTTCGGCCCGCATACGATTTGCCCTGGGAAATTGGTACGGAGAACTCCGTCGTCTGACTAAACATCTCAATTGATCTATTGTTTCAAGTCAGAACTGATGGGAGAGATGAGATAGGAGCACTGAGTATAGCAGGGGCACTATGTGAGAACAGTTTCAAACTAGCTGATGCCGAGACATTTAGACTACGCTTGGACGGAGCATTTGGTTTAATATCACTAGCGCAGTCACAGGCATTAGCCGACGGATTTAATTCCGGGCAATTTGTCAGTTCGGAGAAAAGCCCGCTGGCGTCGCGTCGAGGCCTATGTACCCTTGCTGTCCCCACTTCGAGATCTAGTGCTCGGCCTTCTGTCCTGTCATATTGGCTGTTGGACAATGTGAACGCTT